AAAAGAATAGTTACTAATGAGGGCAGATGTTAGTTGATCGCCAGACCACACAATATTATAGGGACCTCGAACCGAGAAAATTGGGGAAAAGGGACTGCTTGAGCGTGATGCCCGAACCATCAGTAATGGCTCTGTCATCAATTGTGATGCGGCGTCGCCACATGTTGGGCAATTTCGGAAGAAGGAACAGTAGGGCAGTTTATGGAAGAAAAGGGGTCAGCTGTGCATCCGGGGTGCGAAGACCACGATGCAGCCCTAGGGAAAGCGCATCCTTTTATCCAACCTGCATCTGGGGAAGCCCAAGCTTCTGGGGCTTCGGGATAATCAAGACCGAAAAACAAGCCATGTGCTTGATCAGAAGGCTCGAGAGCTGCTGGAAAAGTTGAGCAATCCATAGCGAGTGGCCCAAGCCGACGCCAGACCAGGGTTTCTCGACGACTGTTGGTTATGGAACGCCACAAGCAAGGCGGATATGCCATGGCCAGCCGCGTGGCCCGCAGACCGCATCCAGTCTGTGTTGCGATTGGCTGCATTGTTGGGCTGGGGTAAAAGCGAGAAATTGGCTATTAATTTAGGTTTTGCGGGGTTGGACCCCACTCGTGCGTCCAGGGTACCTGGAGGAAATTCATCTCTGGCGCCTAACTGGGGTTTAGACAAAGTCTATTACATAGATTAGTCTGATATAACTATGCAGTTCATTGATTTTATAAGCGACAACACGGTATGTACAATTCTCGAAGAGTAACGCCGCATTCAACCTCTGACGGCATGGATTTCAGTACATGATCCTCCAGACACATAGACTTCCAAGCCGTCCTTGCTGTCTATCTGTTGCTTTCCGTTAACTGAATACGACCTGATATCAAATGGCACGCTGACGACTCCCTCTGTACCACTAGGGCCACACACGCTCAACTGCACGCTCGTGCCATTCAACCGCCAGCTAGCCTGGATCGCCCCATGAGGAGTGGGCACTCTTCCCCGTGCCCATGAAACATTCACATCCAACATCGCGGGACGAAACTCCCAGTCAGAAAATCCAGCCGAAGTCGCTTGAACACCGAGGACATATTCCGACAGAACGTACGTTGGCGCAGCTGCCCAAGGGTGTGCATGCGACGTGTAGAGGTCAAGCCCGGGTCGGCCATCAGGGTAAAGGTATTCCCAAGTTGTACCAGTATAGTATTTATCCTGGGTCACCATCGCAGCCCAAAGTTGGTCAAGGAGCACGCTAATTGCGGTAGATCTGGCTTGACTTGAGTTGGGACTGTTGCGACTCTCCTGCAAAATCGATTCTAAGAGGAAACCGGTGAGAAAAGGCGCAAGATTAGTCGTTGATGCGTTGGCAACGGAGCTCGACGTTTTGTAGCCTATTCCAAGCCGAAGAGAGGATAATGCTGCGAGGGAGGATTCTGCTTGCGTGGCATTGGCGACTCCCGCAAGAATAGCCCAGGCAGTGCCGGTGATAGACTGCTCGGTCGGGTCGCTCAGGTCGGTCGCATAGTACCCCAAGCGGGAATTCCAGAGCCGCTGGCTGATCGCAGCTTTGATTGAAGTCGCCGAACGAGTCCACATTGTCGCGACATCTGTCTCATTCATCGCGGACGCCACATCAGCCATCTGGTCGAGTGTGTGGGCAAGGAGCCCCGATACTGCAGTGCCATTGTCGGATCCCGAGAAGAATGCCCCGATATTGGTGGCGACGGCCAGTCCAGATTGGTCATCGATCAAAGGCAGGATGGCTTCCACGCCTTTCCTGATCTTTGTCCAATGCTTGGCCACAAACGCTTTGTCGCCAGAGTTTCTGTAGTGACCAGCAAATACGTTGAGAAGAAAAAGCTGGTAATCAAGAAGTCCGAAAGAAGCATACGTGTCAACATATTTCGCCGATTGGCCCATAGCAGGTGACATGCTGAAGTAGCCAGCGTACTGCGACGAGTCTGGTGCCTGACGGTCGATCCAGTACTCTAGGGAACCGGTTATAAAATCGGAGCGATAGGTGCTGGACTGGATGACGCGATAAGTGTGTACAAAATCACCATTCCAGACAAGACGGTCCCTTTTCGCACCGTCCAGACAGACGGAGTGCTTACTGGCCATCACTCCGTATTCCTCGAGGACGGAGCTGAGCGTCATCGGATTCCGGTACAACTGGGTACCATTTTGTGCGATGACCTCCACGTCCTTGACAAGAGCGGTTTGATCCTGATATGGCCCAAACCCCCAGGTACCGCCTGTCAGACTGCCAGAGGAGCCAGTAGTACCAGATACAATTTGCAGGTCATCCAGTGCCACGAATGTCTCGGTTCCATTGATGGTAACAGCATATCCGGTCGCATTGATGGAAGTCGAGATCTCATACCATTCTCCCTCCTTAATGTTGAAAGGTAAGGAATAATGGTTCACTTTTCCGGTGGTGAGAGATGTCTGATTCACAAGGTTCCACCCGTAACCCACAGCTAGTGTGTTTGCAGGGACGATCGTTCGGTTGGTATTGACAAATGTGGAGTCAGCAGGGTATTCGCTGGTAAGAACAAAATAAGGACCAAATCCGCCCACACCAGCGGCAACCTTCCAACCTGTTCCTCCACGGATAATCTTGGTCTGGAAGGTCATGGTGTAGTTGTCAAAGGACGCTCCTGCCACTGATTGAGCAGGTTGCTGTCCACGAAGATACACACCTTCGTCAGTGACTTCCCATGTTGATGGTGCGGTATCTGCCGCGATGCATGCTTGCTGGACTGTGCGTGGCCCTAAGGCCCATATTTCATTATACAGCTTGTTCGAGCTCTCGAAGAACCCTGGCAGTTTGTTTACCGGAGTGCGGTCATTTCCAGATTTGATACCAGCTTCGCATATGCGAACACTGCCATCTGTGAGGAGCTTGAGGTTCTGCCAGCGAAGGCCCCCTTGAATGAAGAAGGATCCCACTGTCCCGGGTGAGGTGACATTGAACGTTTCGACGCGGAAGGTATTAGAGAGGCCGTTGGAGAAGGTCCATGGGCCATCACCAAACGGCTCGTCAAGACCGGTCTTGGATTCGGTGTACTTGGCCTCGATCTGGACTGCATTGGATAGAGAGTCCACATGGAAGAAGGGGAATCCCCCAACTTCGGTACCGTAGTCTAGGGTAATCAATGAGCTTTTCTGGTCAAGCGTGAAGCAGGATGCGTTTCCATGCTGCGTATAATTCGCAAATCCCAAGCTAGTTCCGTATCGGGTAGGAAGCACGACAGTCTCACTGTTAATTTCGTCAGCAATAACCGAGCCACTAGGGTCAGTATGTTTACGCGCCTTTGGGCACCTATGAGCGACGCGAACAGCAAGCTGCTGCACGTAAAGATGGCCAATCGCTTCCCGGACATTTTCCTATATGGCTGTCAAGGTGTCATTCCTACGAGCTTCCTCCAACGCTGCCATTCAAATAAGTACCCTGGCTAGCGAAATTTCGTCAGGCACCAGTTTTACCCCAGCGGTCGACTCGGTCAATATGTCGGGATGTGGGCACCTCCGTCTATCTGCCACGGCGATTGGTGCACGGGCTATCGCTCCCCCGACTGAATTACATTGAGGGTCCTATCCCCGCATTCCTGGCGGGCTAATATGTGCCGAATCTGCTGCATGTTCTCACTACTTCCATCTCTTAGTGGGTACTTCTTTCCCAGGTTCCCCAGCAACGTTCCGAGCAGCAGACCTGGATTCCCACGTGCTTACGGGTGGTGCTCGATCAAGACGAAGCTGAGGGCAAAACACATCAGCCAGAAGAGGAAAGTGGAGGAGGAGCAAGTCCGCCTTCTACTCTGGGAAGGTGTTTGGCAGACACCTGGCAGAATGATACCGCCTTGGAAAGTTTGCCGAACCAATTTATCTGGCCTCAGGCATCATATTTCAGGGACATTGCCAATTACCCCAGGAGATCGGTTCGAGGACAACTTCTTTCTCCAGGTATACCTCCCGCAAATCATTGTCATGATATCCTTACGTAAAGATATTATCGTCTGGTTACACGTCGTACCCGGAGTCCTGTCGAGAGAGTGGAATAAAGCCTCGCAGGATCTAACCCTTGACGATGAATCCGGTCCCATCCAGCGTTTGCGCCTTCAGATTGACTCTGTATTCATATCAGGCCACCATCTAACACATACGAAGTACATATACCGCCAGGGAGCTTCGCCCCGCAGAACCAAGATTCAGCGATGTCGATCTGTGGGAGGCCTAACACGCCAACACGGGAAGATCATCGCCCTACATCTCAATCTCGTATCCGGGGCGGAGAATAAGCAAGAGACATGATCACCGAAAGTGACTTGCGCCAGGCTAAAGGCTATACCTTCCTGTCTTGCAACTGCATTCAGAAGCCACCCATTCCTAATGGCTTCTGAAGTATTCTTCTGAGCTTTTTTAATATCCTACAAGTCCACGCACAGCATCCTCCCTCGACTAACCAACGCAGAGAGTCTTTTAACGAATATTCCACGGCGACTACAGCGTAATATTGTCCTCGGCTGTCAGATCAGCCATATCAAACCTCTAGATGACGTCAGCCTACTGTATCAGTTGCAGGCATAGCTGCATATCATGATCAGACCTTTGCCATTCAGTGAACATACCTTAGCTATCAGGCTCTATCCGGAGTATCCGGATGAGTCCATTTAGATACCTACAGCTTCGCGCAGAGCCAAGAGTGGCTATGAGCCTATCCAACAATACTTGCGTCGAGCATTGGGCTCTATCAAGCGACTCTTTGGACGCCTCACACTCCTGTCCATTCATGTCCAGTAGATACTTCATAAGGAATGTACGAGCACTCGTAACCAACACCAGCACGATCATAGCCTGGTCACCTACACAACTACAGCCAGTCCATGGAGCAATATAAATACCATCTCAAGTCACCATGTTAACTACCTAATACACACCCAAGCCATCGCAGCGTCAATTTTTCCCATCGAATTCCGCAATATTCAAATTCAACCAAGCAGCCTTTTAGCATTCCCAAAATGCAACTCTTCTCAGCTCTCATCATTACCATCGCTACCACACTTCTCACCTCCGTTCATGGAACTGCCACTATCGGTCAAGCCTGCAGCGGCAGCAGCACTTACGACTGCACCGACGACTTCAATGCCGTGGCAATCTGTAATGGTGCACGATGGGTAGAGGCCGCCCAGTGTGGAGGTGGATGCTGCGCCTGGCCCTTGGGTGACCCCGCTCCGTTCTGTAGTTGCTAGACGATGGACTGAGGTAAGCTCCCTTTAACAGTCCTGACATGACGTCTGTAATGTACTGACACGGTTTGTTATTGTTCTAGCACGGAGCCACAGCTTGAGTGTATTTGGTCTTGTTGCTGGCAAAGTTCGGGGTCAATGTCTTAGTATCTCTTGTGGAGTTATTTTATCTGTGATACATATGGGTTCTATGAGCAGTTGTGTGGCGGTGTCCGAAACAATGACCTGTTCTATCATGGAGATTGCTGCGTCTTCTGCATGAACCAGAAGATCGTGAAGGCACGGTACCATCGATGTCCAAATAAAAACAGCCAACGGAATAAATCATGTTGTAAGCAGATCTTCAACATAGCCTGTCTAGGAAGACGGTAATGCCATGCTGCCTCATCATCGTCAAAGCACGGGATGAACATGTCCATCCCGATGTCAATATTTCTATCCATTTTCTTCAACATCAGAGAGAGAATATGTTGACATGGCTATCCACTATCAAGTGGGAGATACAAACGCTAGCCTATTTTGGTTTGGTCCAAAAATAAGCCATGATCCTGTACCATTATAGAGCGTGATTGGTTGATTTTGGCCGCCATTTCCCTGCTGCGCCAACTCACCCCTCGACGCGGGGCATTGGTAAAGGACAGGGTAGCAGTGACAAGCTCGACGAACGGTGAGGGCTCGTTTAAGCCAAACTTTATACATTGCTCCTTTGAGGCGTATAGTCGCAATATTCAGCCGAGAAATGTCCGACCTTCTCTCCAAAGCCAAATCTTCACTGTTCAGGAGAAGACGACATGAGAAGAAAAGATCTACCCATGGCACCTCTCCCAGCAAGGAGGGCTTTGAAGCTTCAAAAAGCCTGGCACCCAAGCGTCAGAATTTAGAAAGACCTGCCTCCGCATCAGACGATCTCTGGGTTCAGGCCGAGCGTAAATTGAGACAAAACAGTGAACTGGATAAGATTATGACAGCATCTGTTGAGATATTGCGATCGGAGTATAATTTGCGCTTTCAACCAGGGGATTCGTGCCTTCATGAACGGCTGTCTGAATTCCTCGAGACCAAGGCAACTCAAGTCGAGGAGAAGAAGTGGGTGATAAACCTAGGGACCCATGCTATCATCGTTCGGGATCAACTTACCAAGGTCTTCCAAAATCTCCTTGCGGTTAAGGATATTGTGACAACTGCAGCGAATGCAAGTCTAGCAGCCTCACTTGCCTGTGCTGGAATAATGGCTTGTTTTACGGTGAGCGGAGCTTAGTACTTTCCCTGACATGCGTGGCCTAAAATTAACGATCTTCAGACGGTTATCCAAGCAGCAGAGCAGCATTCCCATCTTTTGCAAGGCTTAGAATCTATTTCTGATTTGATTTGCCGACTTCACGTAATGGAGCGCCTCTATTTGCACTCGAGCACAGAACAGGACATTAGCCTCCTCGATAATCTTCGAAAAAGTATTATTTCATTCTACACAAAGATACTAGAATTCCAAGCCCGAGCGCTCTGCTATTTACACAAACCTCGAGCATCCCGGTTCTGGAGAGATGTCCTTAACCGGGACGGCTGGACCAACCTGCTGCAAGAATTTGAGAGATACCAGAAAACAATAGGTCGAACCACTTGCGTTATTGCAGATGCAGAATCAAGACAAAGGCATGAAGAGCTTCAAAATGAATATAAAAAGATACTGGAGGCCTTACGCGATCGCGATACATGGACAACAACATCCGATCGAGACAAGCAGGTGAAACGGTTTCTGAACCTGCTTTACACTTGTCCCTATAAGGACCGGAAGGACCGAAACAATAAGCGTGTCCCTGGGACCTGTGAGTGGTTCATAGGACACAATAAGTTCCATGCCTGGCAAGGAAGCTCAGGCGACGATCTTTCCGGTCTACTATGGGTGTCAGCTGATCCAGGATGCGGCAAGTCGGTCTTGACTCGATATCTAGTGGATGAGGTTCTTGTCAGCAATGATAAGCGAACAGTCTGCTATTTCTTCTTCAAAGACGATTTTGCTGACCAGAAGAGTGCAACAAGCGCACTTTCAGTGATATTAAGGCAGCTATTCATAGCTCAGCCTCACCTTTTGCACGATGCAATCCTGGACAAAGTGGACACTGATGGCGACCAGCTGATCCAGTCATTCTCAGAGTTGTGGAATATACTGATGGCAGTTTCGACCAATCCCAAGGCAGACGAGATAATCTGTCTCATTGATGCCTTAGACGAGTGCCAGGACGAGGATCGGAACCGGCTTATCAATGCCGTCAACGATTTCTACTCAGGCCCCCATGATAATAGCAAGCTGAAGTTTTTGATCACGAGTAGACCCTATGAGCATATACGGCGTGGACTCTCTGATCTCATAACAATTCTACCCACAATTCATTTGAGTGGTGATGGTGAGAGAGAGGCTGAGCAGATTTCACAAGAAATTAATCATGTTATCTCGACAAGAGTGCACGATATCAGCAGACAGAGATCATTGACGGATGGAGAGTGCGAGATGCTCATACACAAACTTACTGCGGTTTCAAATCGAACTTATTTATGGGTGAGCTTGATATTAGATGTTCTTGAAAACATCCCGGAGTTCTCAAAAGGCAAGGTCCACCGCATACTGAGTGATCTACCTACCACTGTCGACAGTGCCTACGAGAAAATATTGGATCGGAGTCCTGATAAAGAGAAGGCAAAGACTCTTCTTCATATCATTACAGCTGCCATGCGACCTCTTTCCCTGGATGAATTATCTCTCGGTCTTGCACTTAGTGCAGGTTATCAAGATTCGACAGATATAGCCGATAACATGGAACCAGCATATCGCTTCAGGAAGACTTTGAGAGACCTTTGCGGACTCTTCGTGATCATTCTGGATGACAAGGCCTACCTCCTTCATCAGACCGCGAAGGAGTTCTTGGTACAGGATAGCAACTCTACTCCGGACACAACTCTTTCTCAATCAACAACAACATGGAAGAATTCACTCCATCCAGGTGAATCAAACCGGATTCTCGCAGAAATATGCATTTTCTGTATATCTCTTGAATCAGATGACCCATCCCAGGGATGTATGCTAGAGTACTCATCATGTTATTGGGCCACTCATTTCCGCCAAGCTTGCATTCCAGACGAGGATCCGCTATTAGACCGCGCTAAGTCACTTTGCGAACCAAGGTCGGGTATATTTCAATCATGGTCTGGGATCCATGCGGTAAAGGCAGATAATGTTCCTGACAGCACTTCAACACTTTTGATTGCGTCATCAATGGGGCTTATTGGCGTGGTTAAGTCCATTCTTTCTACAGGAAAAGAAGCCCTCAACTCAAAGGATTCGGAATACGATCAGACACCGTTATTGTGGGCAGCAGAACGTGGCCACGCAGCAGTTGTGAGGCTTCTGCTTGCCGCAGATGAGGTGGACATCGACTCTAGGAACTCAGTAGGTCGAAGCCCATTATCATTGGCAGCTCAGAATGGCCACCATGCTGTGGTGAAGCTCCTTATCCAGGAAAATATAGACATAGATTTGAAGGATATGGCTGGCAGTACGCCGCTAGCACTGGCAGCTGAGAATGGCCACGAGGGAATAGTTCGCCTCCTACTTGCCACTGGCAAGGCAGACATCGACTCCAGTGATTCATCCGGAATTAGACCCCTGTCGTTGGCAGCACAATTCGGGCAAGAGGCAGTGGTAAAGCTCCTCCTTGCTAGCGAACAGGTTGATGTCAATTCAAAGGATTCAAGGCTAAGAACACCAATTTACTGGGCAGCAAGAGGAGGCTGCGAAGCCATAGTGAGACGCCTTCTCGATACAGGAAAGATAGAGGTTGACTGTAAGGACTCCGATAACGGTACTCCTCTGCTCATGGCAGCAATAAACGGCTATGAGGGAATTGTGAAGCGTTTGCTTGCTACGGGGGAGGTCGATGTTAACGTAAGAGATGAAAGCCATGGCATGTCATCACTTTCGTGGGCTGCATGGGCAGGCCACGATGCAGTGGTTGAGTTGCTCCTTGCTACGGGGGAGGTGAATGTTAATACTAGGGATCAGAGATATGGTAGATCGCCGCTTTCGCTCGCTGCTAAGGAAGGGCACGAGAAAGTGGCTAAACTCCTGCTTGCTACAGGGAAGGCAGACGTTGACTCAAGATGCATAAGGGGCCGTACTCCCTTGTCTTGGGCGGCATGGGAGGGTCATGACACGGTGGTGAAACTCCTTCTTGCTACTGAAGGGGTGGGCGTCAACTGCAGAGACTCAGAGGATCGTACGCCCCTGTCTTTGGCAGCGGAGACTGGCAAGGAGGCTGTAATAAGGCTTCTCATTGCTACAGGAAAAGCAGATGTGAACGCCAAGGATGCGACCGGACGCACCCCCTTGGACTGGGCTGCAGAGAAAGATCACCAGGTTGTGGTCAAACTTCTTCAGAGTGCTAATGAATAGAGTCTGTTTAGCTTGCCTTGCTTTTTCCAACTAGGAAATGTGGATTGATAGAGACGGAGTCAGGTCCTCGAGTACTTTACTGTCATAATCTGTCGATGTTCCCTCTGCAGCCTCTAGCAGTGTTGGAGATGAAAAGAGGTACTCCTACTAAATTTGAAGCACCTTATACAAGTTTCAGATTATGGCAGGAATTACTTTCGCCTCTCAAGGAGGACACATCGTCTATATCGAATACGTAACAACGTCATATCACCTCATAATCCTTATAGACAAGTGCCCCTAGCTCTCACGCCTCTCCCCAACGCTTACTCACCAAAAATAAAGAACACTCCTTTTGGAATGTCCGGAGGCACTGATCAAAATATCAAGATGGAAAAAAAGGCCATTCCCATTCCTGAAAGGTTCCTAGGAAGACGAACGCGCAGTGAAGCCCACCGTCACAAGTACAGTATCTATTTTTTTGGAGAGCTTTGTGCCACCGTTGCCCCTGCGATACCGCATAGGATCACCATAAGTTCCCGCAAAACGATCCCATGTGCTGAAATATTGGCCACAGTTGAGCTGAACGTTCTTGTGATGAAATGTATGAAGCTGCTCGCGAGTATCATCTAGTGTATATGTTAATCTAGGAAGCAGCTGACTGAAGCAAGAAACATACGAATTAAAAAAGACCAAACATTGGTACAGACAAAAACGAGCACTTGAACATGGCGCGACATAGGCCAGAGAAAGCTGTAGGCATAGACAGGAAGGCTCATAGCCCAGGCTTCCAGTGGATCGAAGGCGTAAGCAGAAAAGGGGGTTGGAATTATATATCTGCAATTGTGGCTTAATAAGTAGTATGCTCAAGAGGATATGCTTCTTCAGCGCTTACCGATGATGCTTTTTGTGCATTGATTTGAAGAGAAACGGGTGATGGAATAGACGATGAAGCCAGTATGTGCATGTCTCACTGAAGACAATAAAATAGAGCAATTGGGCAACTTCATACGTTGAACTAACCGTGCCATCCCCTATGTCATAGAGCTTTGTGTAACCACGTATCTGGGCAAAGAGGATCGGCACGGTGAGGACGCTAGCCCAGAAGAGGGTTATCAATGACTGCCGGGCCTCTTCCCAGATTTGGTTCTTATGGTATCGTGGGTGCTGCTTCATAGACTTATCGAAGTTACACAGATAACATGTGCAGCCAATTACTCAAAGAAATAGAGAGCTTGATAGCCTGTAAAATATGTATGTCAGCTCTGTTGATTTGGTTACGGTCAGGGGCACAACCATAGGGAAAGAAATATGCTCAGCGCCTGACGATGCGGGCTATCTCGGCGCCAGATGCTGGGGTCTCTCAGAGTAGCGCAAACGCCAACTGTGCTCTGATGTGGGCAAACGAAATGCGTGAGCCTATCGCGGCTGTATTTATATAAGGTGTCGAATCAAGGCTCATCGAGATAGGTCAAGACGAGGTCCATTCTGTTGAGAAGTCTTGTCCTTAAGGTTAGCCCAAAGGAGAAAGGTCAGATGTGACAATATACGCTAACTTGGTGTGTGTGTGTGTGTGTGTGTGTGTGTGTGTGTGTGTGTGGCACAATCTTTAAAGAATCAACTGTGTAGGTGCAGAATCAGTTCTGCGTAAACTGTCAGAAGGCTGAATATGAAGCTGTATAATGGAAGTCTCCCCAGGCTCCTAGGAAGGTCGATTCCATTCGAAGACGTCACCACTTGGGAGTAAGAATTGAGGGTGGCCCTTTATGTATGCCCCTTGTAGGTTACACAAGCTTCATAAAAGTTCAATACATGACAATATATCACTCTCTTGCATTGTGTTGTCAATTTACGTAGGATGCTCCGTCCCATGAATTGCCTGCCCCATCAACCATAGCGAACGTAACTGCAACTAAGCACCCATGCGAATACGGTAAAATCTCATCGAAGGGAATGACTCTTGAAATCATGGTCAATCAACTTAGAAAAAGCTTGCTGTTCTTAGATGGATTGCTGGTCTTAGGCGATTCGCTGTGTTATTATGAATGAAAGAACGTGTAGGTCGTTCAGAGGCATCACTAGAAGCTGGCTTGAAGCCCTAGTTACATAGTAAGAGCCTCTGATATCTTGAATTACGGGTTATCATTGGCTGTAATAATTCTCAGACGAATAGAGAAAAATGCTTCATCCGCCGAGAATAAGTAAATAGCCTTCAGACTCATACCACTTATTAGTCGTGTCACACACCCCAGAATACTGTTACACGTGCGAAGATCAAGTTTATCTTGGGGCGAGGCTAAAAGGAAAGGTAGGTACGGGATTCATCACAACATAGTATATAACATGATGCCGATAAAAGAGACCAATATCAGTGTGTGATGGTGTGTCTAGGAGACGCGACTTACCGGGGCACCCCTATGCCAATAAAGTAAGGGGTAAAACGGGCCTTGTGTGCGCCAATGAGCAATCGTAAGAGAAACACGGTAAGTGGATGAAGGATCTCACTGTCCGCATACTCGGTGCTGGCTCGCGTCTATGACTAATGGATAATCCATTAACTATCAGGCAATGAGCTGGGATCATCAAGGCGGATACTTTCAGTTTCGGGATCCTGCATTTGCCTCAACAGTAGATGTGACGCATCTACTGAGCTGACAAAAGCTTGCACGAGCAGATACATGCCACCAACAGCTTTATTGCATAAAACATTGACGGGGAAATTATGAGAACCCACGAGTCCAGCAAATACATGGACATGACCACGGCCAATGATGAGCTTGGCGTCCGATCTCATTTCTTAGAAGGGCAATGTAGTCGCCGTAGAGACCAGGTTGTACATACCAAGCAAGCACAGCGTTGTTCCGGCGTGATGATGGAGACGTGTCACTTGTCATGGTGCAACAACATAAATAGTATACGGTCGCATTTACTAGTATCATAGCGCAGCATAACCGAGGCCATTCCTTCATGTGCCAAATTACCCAATCCGATGAGACACCAGCATAGTCAACGCAAGAGTTAATTTACAATCTGATGACAAGTAAATACTATGCTCTTTCCACACAATCAGAACAATCCAGGGACGATTCTCCACAAAACGCGGCGACAATACTCATCCCAGCCAGACCCATACTTATCCGCACATTTTTCCTCATCCCGAAAACACCGATGGTTGATCATCCCTGTAACCAAAATGGCTTCTATGTATGCAAAGACGCCCCCATTGCCGCAGTGCGAGCATAACGACCATATATACAGCACGCTTCCAGCATAATTGACATGACGGGCTACGCCCACAATCCTGCAGATTGAAACTTTAGCAAGGAACCCCACAGATTATTTTGGGATAATTCGCAACTAGACATGGACGTACTGGAGAAGAGAAGTAGAGAACGGTGGGGTTTCCCATCCCTCTTCTGATAAGATACAGGTATCTCTTGTGTCTGGCGACCCCAGAACAAGCACTTTTCCTGCGTTCTACTCAAACGCATCTTCTGACGGTCGGCGAAGAAGCGCAAAGACCAGATCGCTACAAAGATCACTATGTTGGCGATCCAAACAGGGAGGGAGGTCTCTGTTCGGTGTTTGGTAAGATAGTGGGTTTGCAAGGTCCAGAAAACCGGCATCATTGCAGAGAATCCGTAAATACTGTAGAAGCCAAACGATTCGTATTTGCCGTCCAGGGTGTGGAAAAGCCTGGAGGTTTCCATGACTATCGAACAATGATTTGTTACTTTTTTTATTGGTAGAACATACATCTCGTCATTAAAGAAGAAGTCCACGACCACGACAGCGCGGAATAATACAATTATGAACATGGTGCCCGTCAGGCATTCATGTTGCTCATATTGATAGGCAACAAAAGAAAGATCATTAGGCGATCGTTAGCTTTCCTGATATTCGTGCTTGAGGAAATATGATTTTGGGTCTAACATTTATGTCCATGCGATGGTGCCTCGGAACGAGTAGATAGGAGATGCCTCCAGTCCCAGTACTGGCAAATACGTGGGTGAAGCTCACCTCCTTCGAACAAATCATACCAAAGTGATCCTGTGAGCGGCCATTAGCACATACATGTAGTACGTACATGTATAGCTAAATAAGGATCGTGGAGGTGAATTTGGCTTGCCTGTTATATAAGTTTCGTGTGCATTATCGGGCGCCACTCGAGCCTTGATCTAGAAGAGGAAGAGAATGATGGAAAAGATGTTCGTAACTCCCACCAGCTCTCTCCATGCTTTGGTCAATGCGGTAAGGATGCAGCCAGGTTCCTGCAGCGAAGGTCAAATAACAAAACCTTGTCTGGCGCGTCCTGCATGTCCATGTGCTTCTCAAGCTACCTCCTTAACGTCTGCTTCACAAAGTCTATATCTAGACAGAATATAACTCGTGAACGGCTTTATTTTCATTTACATCAATACAATAGGGACGAAGAGAATTAGTATCACACCCTCTGCTCTTCTGGGGATTGGGGGGTTGGGGGGTTGACCACGAAAAAACCACACCTCATCAAACTTGCAGACCATTTTGGTAGACTATTACTTGAATATAGAAATGACTAGTTATAATTGATTCAGTGAATACCCAAATGCTAACACTCCCATTCTTCTGCTGATTCATCTTCTTGTTCTTCAGGAGGGTAAGGGTGACAAATCTATGAAGCTGATCCTTCAAGTCAAACCGCACCGTCTATGGGGTTAGTTGTGTTCATCTCTTACCCACTGTGAACCCGACCGCAGCATCTATGCCACCTTCTACCCCCAGAAGGGCTGCTGCATTACGCCATGTTGATGTAAGATAGCAAGGTTCTCAGTTAACTAGCTACTACAATAAGACATAAGTATGTTAGTACTAACGAATCACATTATGGGGTGGACACCCCTTAGACAACAACTAAGTTGCCATCCCGCTTTCCATCAATGCAGCTGACCGTTCTAGTAGCACACTTCCGCACCGTGATAGAAATCTCCATGGTCATCACATTTCTCGTGTTACATCATGTTTTGCTTATTTTGTCCTACCTAAATAACATTCCAAACGTTGTATTGCGACACATTCAGGTTCGACTTATTTCCCAACCTGTCCGAACTCCTAAGGATCATAAATCAACCAAGCCACGCTACCACAAAGAAGAGCGCAACGTGACTTCAACCCAAAATTCTCTTGAAAGAAAATTTCCCCAATACGAGGCTATTTGCGATAATCTAGTATGTTCCATCAAGTTACAGAATTCCTGAATTGGGATTTGTTGCGCCTTGCTTGGAAAGACCTACCTATGGAGACGAAAGCTTTCCTCTGCAGCTACATCAAAGACATAAAATCGAATGATTTGGAGTCGCACGTTAAGCACATAGTACGAAGGGATTCTCCCTTGCTGCTATATGGTTTGAAAGCTAATTGATTGCTAGGCAAACGCGGGATGGGACAGAGTGCGATATCCGTGCTTTGGTGTGCTATCATTCGTGGATTTTGATCTGTCTAGATCCCCAGTCTATGACGAAATCATATCCAACCTGAAAGCGTCCTCGTTCATGCTAGACCTGGGGTGCGGCCTCGGTCAGGAAGTTCGTCGGTTGGTGTATGATGGCGCCCCAGCTGAGAACATTGTCGGCTTAGACAAAGACAAGCACTTTATAGAACTCGGGTTTGAACTTTTTCGGGATAAGGCTACCTTAAACTCGACATTCCTAGTGGATGACTTTTTGAAGCCCAGTCCAAAGCTTGCCCAATTAGCTGGCCACGTACGTGTCATAAACTCCGGTTACTTCCTGCATTTATGGGACTGGGAAGGACAGGTTAGCGTTGCTAAATGCATCATTGGCTATCTTTCTCTGCAAGAAGGTGACCTAATCACCGGTGTCCAATTTGGGAGGGAAGATGCTGGTCTTTGGAAGGTACCAACTCTTGACTATTCCATTTTGCTACACAACTCAGCCAGCTTTGCACACATGTGGAATCAGATTGGGAAAGAAACTGGCACTAGATGGCTGGTTTGGTCCACGAGCGACCGTGAGGGAACTCATGACAAATTGGCTGCTAAGGGTTTTCGTTTGCGATGGTACGTTCGGTATAAAGGAAAGAAGTCTCAGAATGACAGGGTGAAAACTTCAGTCTTAAGCAAGCAGACCAGGAACGCTGTAAGAGCATCCAACCCAGGGAGATTTTGAGAAATGAATAAGAACAGAACTAGACGTGCTTAGCGTTTTACTATCGTTAAAAGACATACTGAACATTCATCAAACTAGCGCAACCTCGCTTGCCGCTTTGCAGTTTCTAAGAAATTTCTGAAAGCCAACAGAAAACCACAATCGTGTCACAATGCGGATTTTTCTTTTTTTTTTTTTTTTTTTTTTTTTTTTTCTCTTCTCAAATCCTCCTAAGACCTTCAAGATTGAAACGCCGTTCTACTCTTTCATTCCATGCCCTGGCTTCAAACATGTGACAACCCAGTCTTTGAATATTTCGAACGAAGGGCATTGCTCGCAAGAGTAATGATCACTGAAGCTGTCCGACATGAGAGCCATGCAGACCTTACACGTGTCATCATCTCTCTCTGGAACTTTGATTGGCTCATAATCAGATGTATTTATCGATGCCACACAATCTGTTTTTGAGTCTCGGGTCAGTAGCTTCAGGACGTCGACTTTGTTCCTCCTTGTGGCTTCGGTTATTGCTGACCGGCCATAGATATCCGTGATCGCTGGGTCCGTCCACTCATCTGGTATTTCCAGCAAAGCCGCAACAACCCGTGCCATTCCAAGAGCGTTTGCAATTATTAGCGTCGTGCGATCATACAAGTCACGAACATGCGGGCTGCTTCCAGCTTTCAGTATTAGCAAAACCAGGTCTTCCGAATACAGCCTGAGGGCAGCCAAGGTTGGGGACGACCCGTCACTTGGATTGGGGTCTGCACCGCGCTCGAGCAGAAGACTGAATGTCAACTCCACGGTTGACAGCTTGGCCAAACTCGAATAATACGCGCACAATGATATAGGACATTAGACTTCTTGTAATACCCACTGCTAAGTTAAAGATATTAATCCTAATCTGATCAAGAAATTTCTACAGGATTTAGAGAATTATACACTATGTAATATACTAAGAACACTGAATATTATCAATAATAAAAAGAAAATGATATATTACACTGTTTCTCTATCTCTAAAAGGTATTATAAATCTTTAATTTTCTTTATTTTTTGATTCTCTAGACTACAAGACCAGTCTTCTCTATACTATAACTAAAAACTCTGAGCTTAATCATCTCTATAAAACTTTCTTTAAACAGGCTATAAAACTCTGCTGAATTATTATTAGTAACATCTATATCAATGAGGCTTTATCCCAAGAATACAGTAACTTTCCGCGTCCTGGCCAAGAACTTGTTACCGAATAGTACTAGAATCATATTTGTACAAGACCTGGACTTAAGCTGAAGCAACAAAGCCTATTGAGTAAGTGGGATAGTCTTTATCAACGCAGTAAAGACACGGCTAAAGTAGAGTCAGACCTGGGTATGTTGTGGTTGATCGTGGACGAGGTATGTCGGTTTGATCTCGAACTTCGATAGGAAGACCCTAAGGGGCAGGCAGAGGCGGATTTATACAACTTACCAAGTGACCGCAAACAACCCCAAGCCTACGTCAACAGCTGTGGGGCAGCTGGGGTGCCTACGCAGTCCCGCCTCGTAAACGATTTTCTTTTGCTAGGGTATGTCCAACAACGCCACTGCTTCGTACTGTCCACTTGGACTTTCAAGATGCGGCGTATGACTTTGATTTGGCGCCGAATCAGGCATGGTAGCCTATGGTTGAAACATTACAAAGTCTCGGTGCGCCACGGTTCAGCACGCCACTATCGAGATAAAGCAACCTACCTAGCATGGACAACATACTTAAACAGGACGTAGGTTCTGTTGGGATCCAGTAGGTTCCTGTCAGCCAGCCCCCGGTCTTGGCACATATCGTTTGGCATTGTTTTACAGACGGGGTACTATGGACCATAGATGGTACTCCAGAAGTATCAATATTGTACAGAAAGGAGATGTCGAAATTGTGTGATTTTTTTCTACCCAGTAGATGGTGTAATATACTTAGGGGTAAAACTGCCCACACATTAGAACTCGGACTCACCTTTGGTGATCTTGAAGCTGGATCAAGGTACAACCGCGTTGGATGTAAATGCGCTGCCTGTCCACTGAAATTCAGTGAGATTAGTTGATTTCTACGCGCGGTGGCATGGTAATGTCCTGAGTAGTCTGCCATACCTTCTGACAGTCTGTGTAGTGGTAGAGGGCGCTCATGTATTCAGTAATTGCCGTGTTTATCACATATAAAGAGTGAGTTCAGATTGAGATGAGCACTGCATACCTTCTGCGGTATAGGTGATGCCCCCACACAAACAGCTTCCGGACAAAGACATGGTGAAGAGTAGTGGTGGCTTTCTATTATACGCAAGAAATGTTGGCAAAAACAAAGGCTGTGGCTGGGATGAATATAAAATTATAATAGGTACACTGCCTATTCTCCAGCGCTGTTCTTAACTAATTCTAACCTGTCTATTTATTTGCGGGGGAATGTTGGGCTGGTTTCCATTATTCTAGGTAGCGTCAAGTGCGTCCACGCTGTGCTGTCACTGGCCCTGCAAACCTACCATTAACAAGGATACCTTGGAAACAGGTATTCCGTTTTGCGAGAGAAGAGAGAGCCGGTGACGCCGAGCAGTAGACCGTATAGCGGGGCACGAGAGTTTCGGCGTAGCTGAAGTTGACTGAGATCGGAGAATTCATCAGCTGGTCGAGACTAGTGATATTTCGCATGCACGAGTGGAAATTAGAGCGACACGTGATAATGATTTAATATCTCTTGATAATTTTAATTTGAATCCCTCGATTACCCCATATAAAATTTTTCCTTCTCTCAAACCACGGGAAAATATTAGCACAAGTCTGTTTTGACTCCGAGGAAAAGTTGAAGAACTGCCAATCCTATTCTCAACGAACACGTAGAGCCGCACAGTCGTTCCAAGATCAACGAAATTGTTTCTTGAGGGGATTCTCTCTGAGTTGCCGGCCGGGAATGACCGCAAGCCGCGAAGTTAGAAATTGCGGAGTTGGGGCTACCTAAGCAAACATACATATGACAGCTGGCTGATTCGTAAACTATTGGCGACTGCCCGATGATTCGGCAGATCCCGACGAACATTTAATCGGGGCACGAAGGCCACCAGGGCCTGGACCCTGAACTAGTTTCAGATTCCTGTCACTTCGAGTTTTCGCTCTAGCGCGGGATAGGCTCCGTTGCCTTCTTTGCTTATCGGCATACAGAATAACCGTCTGATTGGTGGGTCACTGGAAGCGAACAGGCGGGTTGCAAAATTAGGATAAAATAGCCGGCACCTGCGAATGGTGGTAAAGAGCAAGAACAAGCTAGGCGTATGAGGCTTGCATGATAGGGAGCTAAAAAGACATGAGCCTACGTTGCATTTTCTCTGCCAGCTGGGACTCTGAGTTGCACGATGTCCGCTAGATGTCCAGTAGGGATTGCACCCATACTTCCAGTTGCATTCCAGGTGCGGCCTGTCCGGTGCAGTTCAGCTGCAGCCACAAATCAACTACAAATCCCTCTTGTATTGACAGCATACATGTAAATATCCTGAAGGTATCTAGACTAAGGTCGTCCGATTGCCAAAGTGAGGTTTTCGGATCACAACCCTATAATTGACCTGAAGGATCTTTCTCTCGCCTTGCAAATTACATCCATGGTAATTCTCTACAACCCCAAACTACCATGGAACGCACTACTGAAACCTGCAGCACGATGCCCTACACTCTCCCCGTAGTGATTGTCAATGACACCGAGGATGCACTCACCGTAATCGAGAAGACATGTTGGTACTACGCCAACGGTGGCGCTTGGACCGAAGATACCGGTCACAAGCTCACCCTCATTCTCGGCGGAAGCGGCACATCCGGTATACTTCGAATTAGGGCCTCGTCTGGCTACACTTTCAGCGTTGTCGTGGGGTACCATAATTCCGATTTCGGGTGCGATGCACAGGTTGATCTCCCTGATGATGATACGGCAGCCAAGCTACACCCGGAGCACTATAACGGCGGGAAACTATCATCCGAGGCACATCCCTCTATTGAGCGAAAGAACTCAGCGGGGCGGATGGTGAAGGTGCACTTGCAGATTCTGCTGTGTGGAATTCCCCCTGTTATTATCAATCACTCGTGATAAGACGGTTCACGGAGGGATGTGGTTGTAGTGGGTGATTTGGACGGAGTGGCGTTGGTTGTGAATACTTGAGCGCAAGGTTTAGGCCCATAAGCATGGCCACAGTTAATTTACACTAGTTCTGAGCCTACACGACACACGAAAAATTCTCCGTGACAGATTTTTCTTGGCTTTTGACCGTTCGATTCCCATGAATCATAGCCTTACTCCAGGCATTAAGGATATGTTCTTCTGTAATGATCGTAACCCTCAGCTGGGGATTATTCCCAAGTTAAGCCCATCTCTATTGAACGGCTGATTCTTAGCGGACAAATCAGGGTACAGCCTAGGGTATAATAGGCCCCTGGCATCCCACTCTCATGCAACGTTCCCAGACTTTCCGCCAACTAGCTCTACTAGAACACTGCATGATTGTATTCAACCTTATCTGGCATGCCCTAGGCCCCTATCTTTCGTGTATAGCCAAGCAGAACCTGTAGCCCCCTGCTTCGTCTCCTGCAGCTGACTTTCCTCACGAGGATCGCTCTGCCGAAGTTGTATATTTTACCCGATTACGTTTCTATTCCCCCGCAGACCGTCGGTGTATAAGTAGTACCCTAATTCGTCTCTCTTTCTCTTTTTCGTAGCAGCAATCTCCCATAGGCCTAAATAACTTTGTCCACTAGAAGTCCCGCTGTCCACAGTCAACCAGCATAATGAAAGCTGTCATCTACAAAGCCCCGAACCAAATCTCCATCGAGGAGCGGCCTAAACCAACCCTCCTCCACCCCACCGACGCAATAATCCGCGTCCTGCACACAACAATCTGCGGCACAGACCTGCATATCCTCGCCGGCGACGTCACGACTGCAAAAGCAGGCCGAATTCTCGGCCACGAGGGCGTTGGGATCATCGACTCGCTCGGTGCCGCCATCGCCAATTTCTCCGTCGGCCAGAAAGTCCTCATATCCTGCATCACATCCTGCGGGACATGTCACTACTGCCGACAGCGGCGTATGCCGTCACAATGCGTCGACGGCGGCTGGATACTGGGGAACACAATCGACGGCACGCAGGCGGAGTTTGTGCGAGTTCCGCACGCCGCGTTCTCACTACATGTGCTACCTGCAGCCATCGACGAGAGCGTGGCGGTGACGCTGTCCGACACAGTGCCGACGGCGTACGAGTGCGGAATTCTGAACGGTGAAATCACACCGGGATCCAGTGTTGCTATTATCGGGACGGGGCCTATCGGACTGATGTGTTTGCAGATGAGCAGGAGGCTCTTTGGTCCGAGCGTTGCGGTTGTTATTGGACGTGGGATGAGGAGGGTTGAGATGGCAACGGCCATGGGTGCGGACCATGCGTTTAGTGTTCTGAGCGCGGGCGGCGTGGAAAAGGTCGTTGAGGACGCTGTAGCGGTCTCTGTGGGTGGCAGAGGATTCGATGTTGTCATTGAGGCTGTGGGAAATGCTGAATCGTTTGAGATGGCGCAGGGGCTTGTTGGACCCGGTGGCACGATTGCCTCGCTCGGGGTCTTCGGGTGTTCGTGCGAGCTGCGCCTGGAGAAGCTGTGGCATCGCAATATCTGTAGGTCCTCTTCATCTTATTGTGTTTATTTCCCTTGCTAATGTCCGCTAGGCTTAAGGACACGACTCATTGACGCTGTCTCAACACTCGATCTGCTGCAGATGGTGGAGGGAGGGCGCATCGACCCGAGTTTTCTGGTCACACATCGTGCGTTTCCCACTCTTTACACTTTTTCATAGATGTATATTAGCGTGCGCTAACTGGCCTTCACCTCCAGATTTTGCCTTTGATGATATAAAGAACGCGTACGAGACGTTTGAGAAATCGTCTAAACACGGCAGCTTGAAAGTCATCGTCTCCATGCCGGGCACAGGAACTGCGTCTGGCATGATTGATGACTCGTCTGCAAATGGTTCTTTGAAGGACCTGCTTGTGTAGGTGTTGAGTTATAACATCTCAGCTCACCGCAAGAAGATTTAGGTCGTTAATTTAGTGAGAAGAGCTCTACTGGCAAGCTTAAGCTGGTGCTGAGGATCTCACCCTGTCTATTGCGCACTCACCGTAGTCTCGCCCCAAAAATATAACATAAATTGAAGGTCTATGGGTCTAATGGAATGAATATAGATATGCTACCCTATGATTCCCGCACTGTACAGTCTTCGAGAAGCATCTTTAGTCGTCTTTTCCGTCTAAAGTTATGCGTGCGCTGTTGGCTGGTTTTACACTGGCTAGCCACATTCATTCACAGGGATATCTCTATGGAGGTAGGTGACATTCACAATTAGCTTGTTTGTATTGAGTAGCTGGTCTTCGATAGCTTAAGGCCATGTTTAGCAGCTCGGGCTTGGCGGTCGAATTTTGGAGGGCTTCAGGGCGTTCCAGGTGGAGTACATGGGCGGTAAACCCGACCAGTCCCGACCTGCCGCAAAAAAGAAGACATAAAAAAGAAGACATAAAAACATACAACAGAAGGGATTCGCTGGTGGTCACCCACCCAACTACTAACCTCCCGGCGTGTGGCTTAAGTACGGCTGAGCGGACGGGAAGCCCTGTTTTCCACACCCTGTGGTCGTATGTGGTTGTTTGGTCCTGCCAAAAGCTTATACCACGCGAGATTGAATGACCAGTTGCTGGAAGATTGGTGGCCGCGATTCCAAACGGATATCTCATGAGTTTCGCTTAGTCTTGATGGATTTTATCTATACGCATCCAAACGTCGCTCAGGTGCCCATGATAAGGGTGCTTTACTCGAGCCTTCAACCTGGTTCGGATCAACCTTCTTAACAAGAAGCATTCTCACAACTGCCTCATGTCCATCGAGAGCAGCCAAGCATATTCGCCTGACGCCGTACTGGTTAATGGGATCTGGGTCTGCATTGTATTCAAGCAACAGTTCAACCAAGTCATCTGCTCCATTGTGCGCCGCGAAGGCCAAAAGAACCCTCCCGGGCGCTGAGATCGTTCGCGTCCAAAACCTCTTTGGAAAGTTCCGACTGGCTCTGTACATCGGATTCAGACATCGACTCTTGAGTGTCAGCTTTAGGACTTTGCGTAGTGTTGGGGTCAGCGCCCCTCTGCAGCAAGAGCCATGCAAATTCTGTAATAGCATAGTAGAGAGTTGAAGGAGAGCTTCAAGTGTGGCTCCGCTATCAAGTAGTATCTTGACCAAATCTTCATTCCTTCTAGCCACTGCCGCTGACAGTGGTGTGTCCCCTTCTGAATTGGCATAATTTGGGTCGGCACCATTCTCAAGGAGGAGAATCGCCGCCTCCCTATGGCCAGTAGAGATTGAATATATGAGAAGGTACCCACAGGATCAACAACTTCGTCGAGAAGAAAGACCGGACCGTCCTCTTCTAAGGCATGTGCGACTTCGAAGAGAGAAGTGAACATGTCGTAATCACATGGACGTTTCACCGCTTTCGCGTCATGATTGTAGTCAAGCTGGACATTTTGGGAGGTCAGAAGTTGAATCATTGCAATCTGCCCGGTAGTAGCTGCATAGGCTAAAACAGAACGGCCCTTGTTGTCCCGGGCATCACAGGAATCACCGTGCATAATGAGGCGTTCAGCCGATTGGACATGCTGGGCGATAGTCGCATGTATCAGAAGAGTCTTCTTGGTCCATGAAACCTATATTGACCCGACCAGACACGAGGAGCGTTTGTGTTGTTTCAACATGACCCTGCTCAATGGCCCACATAATAGGTCTCCGAATCATCGCATTTCGAACAGTTCTTCCCCGCGGCATGAATGTACTCCGATCTAAACAGACGGTCCAGTGATTGGTCCGGACGCGAATATCCCTTCTTGCGCATAAATGGATGCTTCTCGAGCATTTGTTCAATGTAGAACTCTATTTTATTCTCTGCCATCATGTGTTATGCTTACATTGCCCCAAGAGCCGTACCTAGCGATCGAAGGGGCGGAGTCAAAACAGACCGAGTCTCGAACGAGCTATCGGCCAATTTCTTGCCCAGAGCATAGGCCACGACACCCGCAGTCTTTGAGTCACTACTGATAACAACATCTCCGAGACGAACATCCTGTTCATCCTGGCTCTCATAATCAGGAATGCCGCCACTGATACCCACACAGAGACCTATGCGAACATTAGGGAAGGTGAATAGCATGTCCTTCACCGAAGCGGTTGCGAAGGACGAGCCAAGCTGGATCTTTGGCAGGCAAGCGATCACCACTCGAAAATGACCGATAGTCCCCAGCGTGTAGCGATTCTGATCTGCTGCTGCGGGTGAGGTCTGAGGCTCCCCATGGTCTTCCCCGTCAATCATTCCCCTTGCTGCAGCTAGCTCAACAGGAAGGGCACATATCCAGCCCACGGTGTACTCCTCGTTGGCGTACGGCGATATTCGCGAGCTAGAACATAGCGTTCAGGACCGTTTAGTTGATATATCCTTTATCAGCTGTTACTTATACATGAATTACCAACTGGTTAACACAGTGAATTGCAGATTCAGTTCGTGAAAAACATTTGCGCAGAGCATGTCAGATCCCCTGCCCCGCAGGAATAAATCGCAGCCCCAAATACGCGTCAAAAGCATAACTATCTAATCAGTAGTTTCGTACTCAATGAATCTGATATTTACTACCTATGGGCTTAGGACTATAGAGTGGTGTTCCCAAGAGCTAAACAGAGGTCACGGGATGACTACATGATGCCGTCATCCCGCGTGGCGAATTCTCTGTATAGAAAGAGATCATCTAACAAGGAGCGGCTCCCCGAATTCACTTCTAAACATTATTCTATTTTTCAGAGCGGCTATCAATAACACTGGCAGTAGCAACATTATACGCAGGGAAAGTAACCCGCGAAGCACCCAGATTCGTAACATAGCAATATCCCCCCACCAATTACTCCGTCCAAACATGTCAATATACAGCCATATCGCAACCAGCAAGGAGCGCCATGACCAGATCCAAGCCGAACTCGCTAGTGTAGAGAGCAGTCCAGAGTCTCTCCAGTCGCAAGAAAGCTACCTGGCCGAGCTCCGGAACGAGCTGACCAATACCAATAGACAGTTGTCGCAACTACACAAGATCACCAAAGGGAACCGCGAGCTGCACGAAAAGTACCGCGACAGCACAGTACGCCGCCTGTTCTATCGAGCGAGGGGCAAGAGGGAGGAATTTGAGGCCAAAGCCGACCAAGAGATGCGCGATTACTACGACGCTCTAGCCAAGGAGAATCGTGCGCAGGCGCAGCGGGAGATGCTGGAGGCGCAGGTCGCGGACGCGGTCGCTCAAGAGAAGGAACTCCGGCGTGCATGCACCACAAGGGAACGGTTGCATGCCGAACTGGATGCCATCTATAAGCGGATCTTTGAGGGACGGACGGAAGAGTTCCCCGAGGAGGATGCGCAAGAGGAGACAACAAAGCAGGCGCGGCGCGAATATGGGCAACGGCGCGAACGATGGAGTGATCTTCGGCAGGCGACGCAGTGTCTGGCGCGAGCGCAGCTGACACTCCGGGAGGTGCTGCTGAATTTGGCGGAAACGCTGCGATACTGTGAAAGGGATCTGTGGAGTTTTGGAAGCACCCTGGCCGATTGGCGGCAGCAGGACTGTCTGTCCCGGGCGCAGCAGAAAGTTACTCAAACGCAGATGTTAGTCGCGCAGGCCAGACGATTGGATCCCAGAGTACAGGCACTGCCGGCTATGAACATTGTTCAGCACGATTGGGTTGGTGAGCTGGTCTTTGGTACCTTTCTGTTTCACACCGACTTTTTGGGCATGATGCAGCAGTCTGTTCTCGAGGTGAAGCGTGCGGAAGAGGTTCTGGCAGCGCAAGTTAGACAGGCAAAGTCCCGTGAAGATGATATGCAGGCCCAAGTGGAAGATGCGCGAATGGCGTTTGAGACCGCACAGCAAGATCTCCGCCAACTCAGATATGAGCTCTTCATGAAAACTGCAGATCCTCCACCGCCCTACACCGAGCCAATGTCTCCGGGGATCAGTGTCTAGACCTGACAGCTGCTTAATATAACAAGGAATTTACCTCGCCGTATTAGAACATCATATGTTTCCTATAGTAGAGAGACTGGAAAGTGAAAATGATTCGCCATTCCTCGCTCTAACAGATTCATACAGACTTCCTGGGTTTACTTCACGTTTCAATACCAGTCTCTAAAAATTATAATAGTCTCCTATTTACAACACTGAAGCTGTTTCATCACGAGGGATCTCGGGCAGAATAGCACTGAAGGGGTTGCTTATGCCAGATTTCCATCTGACTTTGTTGGATGTCACCTATATGTTTAATGCATTAGCTCCAGGATAATTTCCTGTTTTGGACCCAACCAAGATCTCCTTAGTAAAGATCTACTACTATTATAGGTACTGTCCTCTCTAAAACCCACTCCGCGGCAGCCACGAAACTATAAGTATAACACAAATAAATTCCCTCCGTATCCATCACCTGCTCGATGGTCGCATCAGGAATGATCTCGTACGAAGTCAGATTGTAATCCAGGGTGACGGCGACCCAGCCGATGGAGGGCTCAGACTCAAGTGGTGTAGCCGCTTACCTGGTAGAGCCGGTTATCAGGATCGGCAGACTGCCAAGCCCACCAGTTCCGGTCAATGAAGCCGTGGTGCAAGAAAAAGACGGGGTCGTCGGGGGATCCGGACACAGCGAAAGTATGATTTTAAAAATAGAGTAGTCAATGACTATAGTGTATGAAATATAGCTATCTATAGATAATCTTCAGGCAAAGAAGTTCCACTAGACAAAAGTGCGACAGATATTTGCTCGGAAAGAAAAAGGCAAAAAAAAAAAAAAAAAAAAAAAGGAAAAACAACTAAACTACTATTGTTCTCTTTCGCCTGGTCTGGTGTTCAATCGAACCAAGCGGTAGTATATATTGATACAGAGCCTAAATTGTAACCATCAAAGTTTCGAATCACCAATCGTCCGACTAATATCAGACGCCCAACAAAAAAGCGGCTCTCTCTTTAAGCACTCCATAACTGGTTCTTCCAACACAACTCTCAATTCCCACAATGGCATTTTCCTAGCTCCAGCAGAAACCGGCCTTGCAGGCATAACCCAACACATCCCACTAATTCTCGGATCAGGCAGATCAAAATTCGCAACTGCGCCCAAAACAGAACCAAAATTCAATCCATACACATCGAAATGGCGGATACTGCTCACGAATAGCTCGGCCCATTGAGCCTGAAACGAGCTCCAATCGTCCAAGGTGTTGATGTGGGAGATGTAGCGAGTGGCTTGCTCGGTCGTGATACTTCGGATCTCGTTTCTGATTTGTAAGGCAACTTCCTGGATGAATGGGATGTCTGCAATGGGGTCTGTGGTTTTGCATGAAATGGAGTGGGTAGGCAGCACACATTGGGCGGTCATCATTGCGTTTCCTATATAGGTGCCTTGCTTGGGGCGAAGGATAGAGCGAAGTTCCACGAGACAAGACAATGTGGAAAGGGTATCTTTGGGTGTATTTGGTGACGACGCTTGCTTTGCTCTGGTGACGGAGATCCAAATAAGTGCAGTGATAATATCCACGTTCGTCAAATTCGGTTTCAATATTTGACCAGTAGCCGTGGAGAACATAGAGTTGCACTTTACCTTGAGCGAGCTGATCTTTTCTGGAGACAGGGTGAATCTCCGACTAACTGGACTTACTGGAATCCTTGGTCCAGCTTGAAATTTATCATAAATGTTGTATGGCTTCGGGCTCCTTATTGATGCAAGCTGCTGCTTTTTCTGAAGCTGCGCAGCCATACCTGTAAGTGCCGAGTCACCTCGACAGCACGCAGCCAGAGAGTCTAGAATAGCGATGCCCCCCAGTCCATCCATCATCCGATGGTCAAAAGTCGCGCATAATACTAGACCATCTGTCATCACATTGGCCTGGAATCGCATTACAGGGCTTGGATCGGTGGTGTGCAGGTGGAGAGGAATTGGGACGAAATCAGCATGTTGCACATAATCGCTCTCCGCGGCGGAGGTTTTAGCGGCATGATTAATGACCTTAAGAATGGGTGACTGGTGCCATGCTGATGCATCTGCCGGTGTGACTTGCATCAAGTTCTGCTTGCCGTCAAGCTCTTCTATCGTCACTATGTTCCCGCTCAGGAAGGGAAGGGCGTGCAATAGACGCGAGATGCCATTTCGGAGAACGGGGACGCCATCTGAGGGCGAGTCGAGCTTGAAACTAATGTATGTGAATAGATGGATGGGAGGGACGATGTGGTCCAAAGAACTCAAAGTGAAGGGTTCAAAATTTCTGGGGGTGTCCAGGCTAAGAGATCTAGTATCATCATGTTGTGCCATCTTGAATTGTTGTGATGAGTTTAATACCATGAAACACTCACATTCAGGATGGAGGGCATTTATTTACCCGTTTTGTTGGTCAGCCCTTCTAGACCAAGCATGCATGATTTCTCGGCCTAAAAATGTCTCTAGTAACTTGATTTCGCGAAGATCCTCGACCGCACTGGGACGGGCCTGTCAGCTGTCAGGAAAACACACCCCACCCTCCCCACGGTTATGCCCGCCTCAGCTGGAGATGAACTATCGATCTTTTGACCATTTCACCATCAAAACTCTGGATATTATTAGTCGATCTAGCCGAGTATTTGTGGGCCGGACGCACTAGTTCCAAAGTTTGCTCGAGTGGAACATATAACCCTTCAAGACTCTCCGTCTTTCTTCTCCGTCTCAACTATGCCATAGATGATGGTATATTTTTATAACTCCTTCCCATAATATATACGTCTTTGAATGCTCTTTGTCCAGTCAAAGCGTGCAAGATAGATATAGAATCGACCGATGACACGGTGTAAGGCTTCACCAGCGATACGTGGCCCGCATTGGTTTTGAAGTCTGTTGGGGGCAGAAAAAGCAATATGTCTGCTTGATGCATCTCGGACTTAGTTGAACGGAGTTTGGAATACTTCGCCACTTTTGCGTAGATATGATTTGATATGGCTGGACTGTTCAACACACAAATCATTGATGATTAGCATGGTTACATTGGTTTCCATTGAAAAATATGAAAAGAAAGAAAGGAAGGAAGGAAGGAAGAAATTTGATCTATTCTTCAGAAGGAAAGAAAAGAAAAGGAGAAGAAAAAAGACAGATAGCAATTGTGTTATTTCTGATCACAATATCTATTCATCACCAGGCAAACCGATGGTCTCTTTGGCTGAACTGTGTTTGAGCGGACTTGGAAGTTGAAGTATGTAAACTGAACAGACATGCGGCTACAGCGAGTTAATCGGAAATCCCCATCATCGGTGCTTTTCAAAATGATAGAAACCTTCTGGCCAGGAGTAGCGTCGGCGGAAGTAATTGCGTTCGCCATATGCCCGTCCAACCGATTCAGTCACGCGACCTGGATAGGAGCCTTCTTCGAAATACTGCCACCAAGAGATGGTCAAGAAAAAGCAGCGAGATGAGTAGGCCTAACCCGAATAAAAAGAAGACACAAAAACATACAACAGAAGGGATTCGCTGGTGGTCACCCACCCAACTACTAACCTCCCGGCGTGTGGCTTAAGTACGGCTGAGCGGACGGGAAGCCCTGTTTTCCACACCCTGTGGTCGTATGTACTCAGCTAGATATCTCTGATACTAATATACTTCATTTTCAACCGCATTCACTGATGTTGGAACGTGACGGTAGTCACTACTACCCCTGCGAAACCAATACTAGCCTGAGCTCATAGTGAATACAGGATTTGATTGCTTCTATTAGGGAAGTGCATAACTAGCGTTCCCCCTCACGGCAAGTATATCTAACCTCTCATCCCACGCTCCGGACCCTCGCGTATGCTTCGCAGAATCATCTATCGAAGCTTCAATCAACATGGTCGGCCAGGCGTGCGTCCGAGGTACCCCTTCAAGAAGGCTGCTGCAGCTAAGGTCAATAAGCTTCTTCTACACGAATTCAATGTGAGAGTCAACAATAACCTTTCTACAAATTTGGAGGAATTGATACATTTCAAGCTCAAAACCTATCCCCGTCTACGTCAACCTTTTGTAGACTCGGCTGTGGATGCTGAATCAACGAAGAGCACTGAAACCCCGCCTGGTCCTCCAGGGGCTGTAAGAGAGGGAATTTTGATCCCTTCGGATGTTGTCGTCATACGTCCTTTGAGTATGGATGTTACTCGCGCAGCCCAGTCAGTCTCAACTTGCGCTAGCGACTCTTCCGAAATTCCGAGCACGATCAGAGGTCCAAGGATCTAATCTTACACTGTGACATACTATGGCATTTTGGATCGACCGCAGTACTAGGCCTTATCCCAAACCGGGCTATGAAACTCGGCAACTACATCGATGTGGATCGTCTAGCAATGGTGGAAGACATAAAAGGCCAAAATTTGCGAGTTTCTATACCGGATACTCACGGTGTGTTGCAACAAACCGGCACTACTCGGAACTTCGTCTTCATGTCCCGCATGCCGGGACAACTGCTGGGTTCAATTTGGATGACGTTGAGCCCCTACCAGAAAGCGTCGGTCCGAGAGCAGCTAGATGCCAGTCATTTAATCCTCGGCGTACTGAAACGAGCCATATTGTAATGATTCGATCATATATGACAACTGGGCACAGACTAGTGATGACCCATGCAGATCTTCATCCTCGAAAATCATGGTTACTGTCACCCCTTACTCATCTAGCCCCAACGAAGTCGACGGACAGTGTCTACAGACATCTGAAGCCTTGACCGGTACAGACGACGTGCCGTCGGAACGAGTAACAATTAAAGGTATAATAGATCGGGAAACGTGTGTTGTTATTCAGAGTACTGGGAGCACCTAAAGCATTGAACACAGTCTTTCCAGGGTGCGATTGTGAGGATTGGTGGGAGTACTTGCAAACAACGATCGGGGTTTGGCCTAAGGAGCATGCAGTCGACCTGATGTTAGATAAATGGTGTCGATGACCCGCCAATGGCATTCGGAAAACTGGTAATGGTATGCGCACACGGTAATGAACTTAAATGATATAATCAGGGCGGAGCGGGAAGATATTGGCTTCTATCATCTACATTTATGCTTGGCTTAACTCTCGGTTTCATTTAGGAAGAAGTGCAGAAAAACCAACAGCAGCATTTCTAGACGGAAGTAATCCATCGGCAAGATGCACATGTTTCAATGGAGTTTGATTAAACTTTCTGGCGCATCGATTTTAGGGTCGCTTTTGACCCGGGGCAATGTGCAGTAGTCCCGACTGCTCCATCCCCTCTAAGGCTTCCATGATCCATGCCTGGCAGTTCCAGGTGGCACTTTCATTATCGAAAGGGTGATTTTGAATTATTGACAAAGCCAGGTCTTGTTCACCTGAAGGGATGGTCCCGCAGTACACTACGTGTTTGAGGCGTTTCGATAGTAGAGGATCTCTGAGGATGGGCTCTTCTACACAGTAGCCGTCTTTGTTGAGCCCAACCTGCAGAATATTAGACTTTGCGTTAGCATCTTTTATCCAATGGCCCAGTGGCAAGGCTCGTCGGTCTCAGCCCTATATATGACCACCGTTAGACGACTGTTCATATTGTTTGTTCTATGAGGCATTGTCAATTATATCTATCACAAGTCTTCCCCCGTAGGATGAATTTGACTAACGGAGACATCATCGAACAAAAATGAAAGACGCAGCATAGGTTTCCTGTTTTCAAGGGGGTGAGGACATGAGGAAGATGCTCATCCAGTTGGCAGGCTGGGTTGGCTCAGAAAACATGAATTGAGTCGAATGTGAATCGGATCTAAATGGAAATCACGTTCAGAGTGAATTTGAATTGAATGTATTTAAGTTAATTTTATTGTATTCTATTTCAAGCATTTTATTCATTCTAGACATCTCTAAGCCCAGACTACTCAGACTATTATCACACTCTTTGATTCTTTGAAAAAACATGTCTCGCAGTGCATCAGGTCATTGCACGGACACAGTGCATATCACAAGCGTTGAACCATACGGCCGTTGCGAGATATCTCGGTACAGACTGATTCTAGGTTTGAAATTGATCTACGGAGCAACTAACTAGTGGAGGTGAGAATGAACCACTTCTTCCCGCCAGACCCCGCACGTCCTTTCTTCATGTCTTCCACACCACTCATCTCAACTCTCATCAATAACATAACATCCGTTTCCAACTAAAAACCTACATTATGAATATAAACTTCCCAGAACCACACATCCACCTCCCCCAAGACCCTCACACCCACACAGCCATCCTCCTTCACGGCCGCGGCAGCAACGGGCCCGAATTCGCCGAGGAACTGTTTTCCTCTTCGACATCGGCGGGTCAAAATCTTCCCTCTCATCTCCCAACCTGGCGCTGGGTATTTCCCACCTCCAAAGACCGCTGGGACGATCGCTTCCAGGAGGAGCTATGTGCCTGGTTCGATGCGTATTCTCTAGATGATATCACTGAGCGCCAGGAGTCGCAAGTTCCTGGATTGCGGGAATCTGTCTCTCATGTTCTTGATGTCCTGGGAAAGGAAATCGAGCTTCTTAATGGTAAGACCACACATGTGTATCTAGGTGGGATTAGCCAAGGCATGGCAACTGCATTGTGGAGTTGGTTTTGCGCGAGTAGCAAGGTGAAGGGGAGATTGGGAGGAGTCTTGGGCTTCTGTGGATGGATGCCGTTTGCGGAGAGGTTTGAGGATGGGGATTTGGATCGGGGGAGACGGCTGGTAGAGTTTTGTTCGGAGGTTGTGGGTGTTTCTGCGGGTGAGGATATGAGGTTTTTGAATACGCCGGTGCTTTTGGGCCATGGGACGGATGATCCGATGGTTTCTGTGGAGTTGGGGAGGCAGGTGGCTGGGATTGTGAAGCGGGCGGAGGTGGAGGTCGAGTGGTTGGAGTATGTTGGGGCAGAAGGGGATGGACATTGGATTAAGGCGCCAGAGGGATTTGATGCCATTTTGAGGTTTATTCAGTCGGGGAATGAGGGTGTGAATTGGTAGTAATAGAGATAGGTCTTGTCGTTGCAGATTGCCTTAATGTTGAAATGGGAAATTATAACTAGAAAATAAGTGCATGATACAGTGCAACTGTTCACGTGTAGCCATACTCACAGAAGTCATCAAGAGTCAATTCACCTCGACCATCGCTCTCTGGTCTTCTGATTCATCTGCCTCCAGAGCAGCCTTCTTTAATGCTTGTTCTCATACTTTAATTTTTTCCTCGATTTGATTACTAGGAGCCCATCCCTCACTCCCTACTCCAATAAAATCCTGGCCCATTTTCATCTGCTCTTCTACACCTTGTGCGCTTGTCAACCTCGGACATTGTTTCGACTCATTTTGTGAATATACAAGTGTACAAGGGTGTGCAATGCTGCCATTGATGTCAACTGACTTGCGCGACCAGTCAAAGAGGCTTGATTTGAGAGGCAAGTTATCACCATCCCATGGATTACTGGCGTAATGGAAGAGGCGTCTCAATCTACTAATAAATACCTCAGCGCATCGTAGTGTTTTGGATTTATCCCTGAAGTCTTCTTGATATAGTGGTAGTGAGGCTGATGCCTGTGGAATGATTTAGCCTGTTGGTCCTGTTCTTCTGATCCTAGCTCATTGAGGTTGCTGGGTAGGGTGGGCTCCTAAAGAGACTCGGACACATCATCGCCGTAGCTCTGTAGGCTGTTTTCGATGTCTCATTGTAGGAGAATGGGGAGTCTTATGCTGTGCTGCCAGTTATTCAATCCTTCAAGGTCCAATCAAACAGAGACAGTGATGTTGTTCGGTGAAGATCGCGGGGTCGGAAGACTGAGCGATGAAGGCCTGGGACTTTAGGAAGGATACTGGTAGTAGTTTGAAGATACTACTTGAAACTTGTAATGTGGACGAGATGTGATAGCACCGTAAAATTGTAAGTCTCCCTCCGAAGGCGCCGGAAGGATTGAGAAGGGTTTTCCAAATCTGGAAAGGTATGCGATCTCTTTCTTAGCGCCCGCAATGCTCTAGAGCTGAGAGGCAGTCTGGGTCTGCAAAGTCTTGGCTACTGATCTCAAGTCAATCCTGATTGCTCGTGGCAGCAATATTCACGTGGTCCACGCTCCACCGGTAGATTAACTCTTCTGTCGTACCCTAGTCTGAGCGACGTGTCGGGTCAATGCAGCATCGCCCTTTTGTAGTCGGCAACGAGTTTGTAATAATCACATTACTACTGTCGGGCGCGTTAAAGCAATAATAGAAACTCCCACTTGCTAGAAATGCAAGGCAAATAGTCGTGACTTGATTCCCACAATTTCAGTGATGAGTTTCGTTCTCTGTTCTGGCGATAATTGAACCATGCATCGCCCAGGCTCCGCCCCCTAACAAGCTCCATAAAAATGTGCTCCGTTCCCGCGGGATTGTCAGCACTAGCGGAAATGACATAGACCTCTGGAACGGGTATCCCATGCGAACGGAGATACTCCACAGTAGCCACTTCGCTTGCAACGACTAGTTATTCGGTGACCGTGGCTGAGTCACTGGATATGAGATGCGGGCTAGAAATTTGAATTTGTCCCGCATGGTGATCAAGAAGGTCCTATTGAAGCCTCCCTCGGCAAGCTTTGTATAGCCGATCACATCTTCCTGTTTCTGACGATTAGATGAAGCTGCTAAGCGCTTGAGCTCTGTGACATAAAAGATTCGTTTCCTCTCTTCTAGTTGTATGCACCCATTGTAACTATACATGCCAGTCAGTCAAATTATCCCGAATCCTCAACAGTGCGCCTGGAACATACATCCAACTCCCAGTAGTTGAACAAATTGTAATTCAAAGAAGTAGAGCTGGTAAAATGATGGACTCTAAAGCAGCTAATCTTTTATTGCAAAAGCATGGGGCGTAATAGCCTGACGTGGGGGCCAAAACCCACGTTTTCCCATGCTTCGATCTGGGGAGGATGTCGCCAGTCATGTTTACGGTGAGAATTTGGCTAACAATGATACATTCTGCATCTTAGGCAATGATTATGCGGCCGTAACCCGATGCGGGAGTAAGTAGGGGCCTGCCACAAAAATTAAAGATGATGCTGAAACTGTGCACGGATGGTGGAGCTGGTGGTCAGACGCGACGCAGCCTTAGAAATAGGATTTCCAGAACCATAGAATGATAGAACACGTAGTAGTTCATTCCCTAATTCCAACTTTGATTGGCCTGTTCGGGTAGTTTACTGCATCTACTATTGGCCTGTTCGGATAACTCTGAGCACGGCCCTACCTTTTTGGTTCATAAATAACAATGGTTGGTATCATACCTACCTCTATCTCAACGGTACAAAAGACAAGATAGAGAATATTATGGATGTAGCATCTTATGATATAGCTTAAATATGATTATATTTGTATCCCATCTTATATATTTGTAGATTCACCAAAATATCCTCTGCCAACACATAAAAAAAAACAACAGGTATCACTTTCGCGCTGCAATAAAAATAATAAAATAGGTAAAGAAAATGCACACGTGCGTAACCATGCTCAGAACAAAAGAATCGCCGCAGCTCACTGCAGAACTCGACACATTACGCGACCTCAGTCTTCGGCTCAGAGTCCAACTGGGCCGGGGTCAGGCGCACAAAGTCAGGCTCAAGCACAGCCGACATACCCAAGAACATTGTGATGGCCATGGCAACAATCTCTTCCAGCACATCCATGACCAAGTAGATGGTGGGACTTCCATTAGTGCTGATAATGGAGAACCGCTCGATAGTGGTGAAGTCGCCAATTGCTGCGTAGACAACGCGGACCAGGATGAAAGGCGTGGAGAGGATGATGGCGAGGAACAACTTCTTCTGGAAGGCCTTCAGGTGACCCATCTGGAGGTACATGAAAGCGGCGAGCAGATGATAGACCACAAATAGAGCGATAAAAATAGCCATGGATGCTTTGACGGTGTTGCTTGGCTCGTAGCTGCCTCCGTCGTCACTAGCGGTACTGACTCCCGCAATACCGATGATGAGACCAATGATACCGACGATAGACACAATGTTGAGCCATTTGACTGGCACTACTTGATTGATATCACTGATAGTATGTTAGCGTCATATGTATCTCTGCGACTTATCCGAGGGGACTTACATTTGTCTGAGAACTCCGACATAGGTCAACAACAGAGGTGCGAGACCAATCAACTCGCATACTGCTATGGCAATCTCGACATTCTTGGAATCATGGTTGATTGACAGCAGCGACGCGATACTACCGGCGATTCGAATGAGAGAGAGCGTAACAGGGTATCGCCAGATCTTGCTTCCAACCCTCAAGCCAGCCCGGCTCCATATGAAGATTGCAGCGCCGAGGATAAAGGGGAAGACAACGAGTTGCAGAATAGCAATGCCATCACGATAGGTAACAGTGCCCATTGTTGCTGTAGTTGTGGTAGTAGATGATAAAAAGGTGTGGTACTGCTAGAGATGAAGTGACAAAAAGAAGGAGAGTGGATAGGAAAGTGAGTTCTGTCTGGAATCCGATAGACATGATTTCTGTCACTCTTTATATTGTTGAAGATGCTGTGGAGCGTCATAACCTAAAGAACACAGCCTTGTCGAAGAGATTGTTTGTTATACATCAGAATCGACGAAACTGTCACCCTGGTTGGTCGAGCATCTACACTACCGGATAAGGTATAGCGCAAGCGGGAAGGGAAGATAAAGTCAAGTGGAAATTCCAGCTGAAACTCGGTTCACACAAGCAGAAAGTCCAGTCCGGAACCATGGCTGCGCCCCAGCTACGAGTCAAGCGCCCTCACTGGCCGTGGGTCTTCCCGCATTCCTCCCTTTCTTTAAGCCGCTAAGGCGCCACGGCTGGCAATGCGGTGAACCCAGTGACGATCGTCTGCCTTTTCCTCCCAAAGCCCACAACAAGATGCCGTCGTCAAAATCTAGTAAGTGGGGGCGGTTTGGGTATCGGAGGAGGCTGAGTCACTGCATCGTGGGTCGCCAGATTGTGCTCAGGATTGCCCAAAGAGTAGTAGTGCACGTGGCAAGGCATAGACACACAGCGCGGGGCGAGACAAGGCTGGCTAGAGGAGGAGAGCTGAGCTTGTTCAAGGGTTAAGCTCTTCAACGAAAACTGCTTAACCGACTTTAAGCCTCCTTTACCCGCGGTTAGTTAGTCAGCCTCAACCCGGGGAGGAGGTTCTTTAACTTCATCACAATCCTCGGGGTTTTCCCCTCTTGACCCCTTGTCAACGTATCCTTACGGCGCAGGCAGCGAGAGATGGCATCGGGAAAAGCGCCTCGCCCAAGAGCCTCCCGCAATTGTGGAAACTGTCGGGCTGTGAAGCGACGCGTGGGTGTTCCTGTTCTTTGCTACTTTTCTTTTTCATCTTTCGCGGCCAAATAAATGCTGACAGGGGCCGATCTCGGTTCAGTGCGACCAGCAGATACCCCACTGTGGACAATGCATCCGCATGCGAGAAAAATGTCCGGGCTATCGCGATGAATGGGAACTTGTTTTTCGCGACCAGACCGACAAGACCATCAAGCGATCTAAAGAGAAACGAGCAAAACGCAATGGCTCGACAACCTCAAGCCGCACCCCTTCACCACCCACCCCTGGCTTAGGGCCCAGTCTAGATGAGATCGGTGTCAACTATTTCCTTCACAACTTTGTCATTAACAACCAAACTCCCTCGCGCGGATTTTTCAACTATATCCCCGCGGTCTACAATGCCGAGGCGGAGCATTACACACTGGTGACCAGCATGGCGGCGGTGGGCCTCGTGGCACTGGCCAATTCCAATCAACAACCCGAGCTGGCTCGGCACGCACGCATCAAATACTCCGAGGCGATTGCGAATGTCAACACGGCATTGGCGTCACCTGATGATTCAGTCAAAGACAGTACCCTGATGTCTGTCATCTCGCTAGGGGTATTTGAGCACGTCACCAATTTCCAGTCGTGGGTGCGACATGTCCGAGGAGCTGCTGCATTGGTGGTTCTCCGCGGCAAGAGCCAATTTACTAGTACAGCCGCAACACTCATGTTCAACCAAGTACGCGCAGATACGGTGATCACTTGTCTACACGGCAATCAACCGTTTCCGGAGGACTTGCTGGCGCTGCAGGGAGAGGCGTCCAAGCACGCCGATGCTTATAGTCCATTCTGGCTCCTCGGAGTATCAGCTACCAAGTGTGTAAACCTCCTCTACAGCGTCACACAAAACAAATCGAAAGTCTCGTGGTCGGAAAAGCTGGAAGAGGCGATCATCCTCCAGGAAGAGTTTAGGCGTGTCTTTGAAATTATCAGCCTTGCAGACCCATATACAACAATCTATGAGCCAACAGCAGACCCCGAAGTCTTTCACGAGGGGCGATTTGACGTCTACCAATCTACCTGGGCGATACGAGTCTGGAACAATGCACGATGCATCCGGATGATCGTCTCCGAGATTTTATATTCCATTTTGACGAAGGTTTTGGCCACCGAACTCCCTTCAGCGGTGCGAATGACCCTGGAAGCGAAGTATCAAGAGACAGTACAAATTATGACAAGTCTTGGGGAGGATATGCTGGCTACCGTTCCACAGATGCTAGGTTATGTATCGCTCATATCTGGGCAACATGTCTCTTATAACCTAACGTCAACTGCCAGCGTGCCAGGCGGTTATTCTTTGATCTGGACCCTCTATATGGTCGGAAAGTCTCCTGTCACCAAACGCAAATCCAGAAAGTGGGTCATCCGCCGTCTTCAAGACATTGGACGAGGTGCAGGTTTTGCAATGGCCCTACAACTCCTAGAGGGTGTTATGAAGATTGATCAACTCAGCGAAGCGTCAGTCCAGCGATCTGGGCCATATTTTGAGCCCACTCGCTTATGAGGCACAAGGTCAGTCAATGGTTTGTTATGGATGCATGTCAACACGTGATATCACTGCCCGGCGTCAGTCTTTACTTTCTTTGGCTTTGTAATTTATGCCTGGCGCATACTTCACATGGCCGGAATGCAAATGGTTTGTTCCTTAGTATATTTTATCAGTGCACATAGGAATGAAAGATTTCAAAAATTTAATGCAAAAACATACAACAGAAGGGATTCGCTGGTGGTCACCCACCCAACTACTAACCTCCCGGCGTGTGGCTTAAGTACGGCTGAGCGGACGGGAAGCCCTGTTTTCCACACCCTATGGTCGTATGTGCTGGGAGTAATTTTGAAAAGGAATATATGCTCTTTTTTTCCTGTTACTAACCTATGTTTCACCCTGCCATCACCACGGTAGACCACGGCGGAGGCAACGGGATCGAAGATCCACATATTGCTACCGAAAGCAAGATCACATTGGTCGCTCTACACTGATGATAAGTTTACTGCCTCGTATCAGTCTTCATATCTAATCCAGCGATTACACAGGATATTATGGAACGCTGAACCTTATCTTATCAAGGGTGGTTGATATCCCCAGCGGAAACGGCAAGTGGCTCCGCGGGAGTTTCCAAGCCGGCAAGTCTTGCTGCAGCTCGCATTCCTCCACTGCCGAAGGCTGGAGTATAATCCGGAGGCTGCGTTTACCCTGGGCTTTACATATCAGACTAAGTGGTGTTCTAGGGTATGGGACGTAATTGGGATACTGAGATGCCCACAAGTCATTTCACGTGTTACAGATCGTGAACAAGGGTGAAGCAGAGCATGAACACCACCCAATGTAACAGCCTATGCTATAGAAATTCCTCTCAATACTCAACTCAACAATTGCATATACCCATAAAGACTGAACACCACTTAGTTATCATTATCGGCACAAGACCAAGCAGAGGATCCTCCGGTCTCCTGGTAAGACTTTATAATGCTCACTACCGAAGCATAAGTGCCCCCGATCGTCAAGAAGACCCCAGTTAGGATTATAAACACACACCAAGCCACACATAAACACCACTTCATGGACTTTTCTGCCTTGCCGGGTCCCCAGTTATCGTACAGCCACATAAACCCCATAGGCTGGAAACATAATGATGTGGCCAGAAGAGCACCAACAAGTGATACAAGATCACTGAATACGGGAATGCTGCTGGCGACGATGTACGCGATTGTAGTTATACTGAAAGTACAGCCTATCCAGGTGATCCAATGCGTTGGAGTCGGCGCAGTAAGGTGTCTAGAACCCCGGAGAATGCGCATGAAAATGTGTTTGGAAGGTAACTGCATATGGTTGGGAGCCTTAGATGGGTATCCAATCATGGACTAAAATGAAACGAAGACTCACGTGAAGAAATAGGACCACAGAAACACACAACCCCGGTAGCGCAAAACCATAACTAATCTTCTTGAGCAAGGGTCCAGCAGAGCCAAGAGCTGGTGAGGCTACATGGGAACCACAGTAGTAGTATACAACTGTTCCGACCACTATGTAGATTGCCGTGACAATAACTTGGCATATAGTGAGGGATCTAGTAAAGAGATGCGGATCACGCATTTCGGAGACGACGTTAAAGAATGCTGGGGCCCCGGCGTAGGCTAGAGTTATCGTTGACACGGCAGTCATGGCTTCAACAAAGCTTGGGCTGCCAAAGAGCTTATAGTCGGATTCTGGGATGACACCTGCAGTCATTGGTGCATGGCCCTGGACCCCGACACCGATCGTGACAATGAATACTAGGCAATGGTTAGACCACATCCAAGTCCGCTTCCGAAAAAATACACTTGCCTGCAATGATAACGCACGATACACCTATCCAGGCGAGCCAGCTTATACGGGCAAGGGTCTGGATACTAGAGAAGGAAAAGCCAATGATGGCTGCAACAGCCACAAAAATGGCAGTGCATGCTGCATGATCAGAGAGCGCATTAAAGGCGATCGAGATGCTCAAGAGGGCAGATCCACCAGTGAAGATATAGTCTTGCAGTAGGTCAGGACACAAGCCAGATGGAATTAAGCACCATAATCACTCACATAGCATATAAGCCCCGCCGAACAGCTCGTATCCAACGCGCCCAAGGAGCATCTTTCCAACATCGCCGATGCCATAGACCTCACGATGGCGTATTTTGAACACGCCCACCATCCAATTCGACCAGGTTGTCGTCGCTGCAATTGCAAGCAGAACAATAACTCCAGGTATTATCCCAAGAATGTCGAAACAGCTGGGTATCGTGAGAACGCCAAGGCCAATTTGCACTTTCAACATAAGGGCAACGGTTCCTATACAGCTCACCTGGACTTCGTTAGTACAGACTAGCTTTTCGGAGACACTATGAAGGAGCTCACGTTACGATAATTGGTATCTCCTTCGCGAATTTCACCGAATACCGCATCATCCTGGATTGGTTCCAAGAAGGAGAGCTCGCCAGCTTGTGACTCCGCTGATAGGATGTCTTCCGGACTATTATCAAGACTTAATTGTTTCTTCATGGCAGGCTGAATTTTGTCATAAGAGCACAAGAGTCAGAATGGTTGAATCTGAGAATTGGCTGTCCAATATTTATCGGGCGCGCTCCTAGGCATAGTCCAGTCATGGCACAACCCTATAGAACGATAGATTACGTTGGAACAGCCTCCAGGGCGTCGGATACGAAAATGCGGGGAAACAGATGAATAAGGCAGCTTGTTCCGCGAAAACAGAAAGATAGTTTTGTGGGGCACAATTGATAGTCATATCAAGCGGAACCACCTTCCATACTTTATCCCGCATCTCCCCCGCGTTCCAGATATGGCCTCAACAACTTATTCGTCAGAACTGATATCCATCACTAATACAACTCTATGTATATAGGGTCTCTCTATCGGAAAGTCTTACTGGCAGGTCGATCGCCCAGTTTCGCGCCACTCTTCACTCGATCGTGCTGAATACCCTTTCAGCACGTTTCCTTGCCCAGCACTGCCCCTTTACGATGAATTAGTATGGACAGGAGGACCAAAGACAAGGATGACTCGCCCGGACTGTATGGCAGGCTGGTTATAACTACTCTTCTATCCAGGAGAGTGTATTTTACGGAAACTTCGAACTGTGTAGGTTGATGAATTATGCGCTCTATGTACTGCTCAGAGACTACGATATAGAAGAATAAAGAAAGAACCTAATGAAGGCACGGAGACCGCTTTGTTTGTACGCTCTTTTAAGGGTGTCTTTATATTGTGAGCAATCACACACTATGAGGACGCGTTATATAAACGGACTACCTCGGTTAGAGTCTTGAAGCGCAAACGGTGACCTCACTCTGCCCATGTCCTTCGAAAGCCTTGCCACAAATTACCGGGTGGGGATGCCCATTCCTAATGACTGTCTAAACAGGAGCTGAGCAGCGGTCCACTTCAATAGAATAGATGTCAACGTGTCCTGGTCGCAAAATGAACAGAACTTTCGAGCCAAGCAAGATATGCACCTCAAAATATTCAGGAACCTTGTGAAATTCATCAAGTGGGTCCGTTGCGTCCCCAGCAGGAATAGATTTATCCAGTCTCATGGCTTGCAGAGGAAGAGAACCGTCGCTAGCGAGGGAAATTTTAGTAATATCCTGCCTTAATCCTGCTGTGGCGGAGGACTTGTCGGCAATCTTGGGGAAGCTACTGTTCTCCGCAGACCTATCTAGGTTTTATCAAATGGTCATGAAGATCAACAAGGACATGAATTCAGGAGATCATTCCTCGCTGATTCTTTCTCCGTGCAGGATGGTGGTGCCGCCGGATTCTACCATCCCGGTCTATGCGGCACATATGATCGCGCCCTTAGTGCCGCTGATTTATTCGGTTGAAGAGGTCTTTCTGGGCCCCAGCGGTCAACCAAGTTTAGAAGAAAATTGATCAGATGCTAGGAGAAAGATTCCTGAGGTATTAAGAGCATTCTTCTTAGCTGGAGCAGTTCCGTTGCCTTGTCTGAGGTCCTCGATCATTCCCGGACGGATACTATGGAGGATACTCGTTCTTCGAAGGTCAGTCTGCGCGCCATCCTCGATGAAGCAAGGCAGATCCGAGAAGTGCTTGTCCATATGAAGATGTCGAACAATCGACCCAAATCGTCAACCGGCAACAGAAATTAAGCAGCAAAGATCACGCAAACTAGCACATAGTTTGCATATAACTAAGAATGAGTACATACGACCACAGGGTGTGGAAAACAGGGCTTCCCGTCCGCTCAGCCGTACTTAAGCCACACGCCGGGAGGTTAGTAGTTGGGTGGGTGACCACCAGCGAATCCCTTCTGTTGTATGTTTTTACGTCTTTTTTGCTCTTTATGTTTTTCGGAGCTTAGTGCTCATTCATGCCGGTTTATCTTCACCCTGCTCGCTCCCTCTCCCCACCCCGAACGCCCAAACCATTACTGAATTCTAGTACAACGCACTCAGTCAACCCACCTTCAAGCAGCCAGATCGTTTCTCAACTTCAAAATTATCACTATTAATGGAAAATTTTGAGGCCACGGCTACAAGACTACTGAACGCAATATTGTTACTCCCCCATGAAGACCATTGACTAGACCGCATAGCCCCAAGTCAATTAGAGCTACTGGTAAAACAATCGAGTAAAAGTGCACTACCCAATAAAAATAAGATATTCATCGTGAATAACAGAAGAAACGAACTGGAATAAAATAAAAGGCTTGGTATTCAATACAATAAAATCAGGTTGCACCAGAGAATAGTCACGTCTGCATTCACATGAGTTAAAGGGGGAAACCTCGAAAAACTGGTAGAAAACCTTTACCGAGGATTGCTGTATCAAAGAAAATGGAGACCTTTGTCAACTTGCTCTTCCGAGATAGCCACATATTTCTGTGCCTTCCATACAAAACCTTAAAAGAGTCCTTCCTGTTAGAGGCTGTGCCAACTGACTAAGGTCAGCAAATGTACATACCCGGATTATTACAAAGTGATTACCCATATACATTGCGAATGGTAGATATGTCTTAGTCGTTCCCTTTGTGTATAACGCCTTCAATTTTGGGTCCGTTCTCGAAAGCAATTGAAAGTTCTTTTTACCGACGTAGCCATCGTAGCCTCGTGTGTCAGTGAGTTCACCTTCTGAATTGTAAGACAATTTGGCTTGCGCTTTTTCATATTCTGGGACTGCTGCATTGACATATAGGGTACGTCTCGCTTCTGGACCATCATGGCCTCTAAATTTTAAGCTTGCATCGATTTGATTGTTAATCTACACCGGTGTAAAGATTCCAGTGACCATGCAAATGGTGACTTGAAGTCGAAAATGCTGTATGTGAGATGAGGTTTTCTGCTTGACTTGTGATGTGGTAGAAGAAGCGGTGAGACAAGGATCAGATGGTTGTGTTCTTTATCCAAGACAGAGAGAGAACTTCGGACACATCAGACAACTACTATGACTTTGACCTGCCTTGACGGTGACCAGTTCACACAACTGCCGGTTTCAGCTCAAGCCTCGGGGGTAGCGATCTAGAATGATACTTTCTGTCATGCTCTATCCCTCATTCCTGCAAAATCGCTCTTTCCAGTACATCACGAGACGCATCCTTGCAGATGCTTGTTATACATCCAGCGGCATACCATAGTTGACTATCCCTGCAGACAGGCCGCAAATAATCAAGCCAAAGTGAGGCACAAACAGCCTGAAATATGGACCTACCTGACTGGCTATGTACATAAAGCATCCATTTGCCCATCCTGTAGTCTATGAGTATTGCAATACTGTAGCCTAGTCATAGTGCTGCAGTGATTTATCTACTACATATCATCTGGGACTAGGTAAACTCTCTCAAATCTTCGTAGATACAGCTTTTATATCAAGATATAGTATTTGGTTATTGGTATGTCTTCAAGAGCGTAATAGTACATTAGGGTAAGACTGCCGACCACGGGTATTCAACTGGCGTGGGGGTATGCGAGACAAGGATTCAACGCGGGCTCCTGACTGCGGAATACGTTTTGAAGCATGTGATCAATGTGTGGTGTGCTCAGCAAGACTATGAGTAATTGCATACAATGGGTCGGAATGGTCAGAGTGGAGAATCCCCTTAGTTACTCCGTTAGTAGTATAGTGGAGAGGTACATGGATCTGGACAATCTCGGGTTGCCTAGGGTAATGTTTCATACAAACAAATAGGACGCCCCTCCCGGGGAGTTGCAGGCCATTGTGTGGAAACCGAGGTCTGAATGGCTCTGGACTATATCTCTGTCTTACCAAATATACCGATCAATTACTTGATCTTTTCGTTAAATTCAAGTGAGTGATAGCAGCTTACATCTTGAGATTTGGTCGGCGTTGACAGTCAGTTAGAATGCTTGAGAATGGAAGCAGGGCTAACCCAACGTGGGAAATTATATAGACATATCAAATCATTTATGACAGCGTGTATCAAAGCTATTATTGTCCTATACAACTAGTGATAATGGCAGTCAAGGTAAGGTAATTCACACATTGAAACTGAGTGAGATCTTTGAGATTCCTCAGTCAGTTCTTGGCTCATGACACTTCGCTGGCGAAGGACTGGCGCTCTTCCTTCAGATCAACCCTAAAGGTAAACGCACACTTTTATATAAGCATAATTCCTTTTTCGCGCTAAGAGGTGACTTAGCTACTATCTATAGACAAATAAGCGGCATTTAGCTTCTCGCCGTATGATCTTATGGATTACGCGAATGGGCCTGCTCCACTCTCAACAACTGACAGGGAGGACGTCCCGCTCGCCGGTACCTTGCATTACTTTGTTTTCGCCGAGAACTAGTCCTCTGTTTCATGGCTCTATGATGTTTTGATTAAATGAGAGATCCCTCAGCCCTAGGCGCTATCTAATATGTTCCTTGCGTAGCGACATTAGCTCGGGACTAGTTCACAGCAGTATACGAAGTCCAATTTCGTGGCGATGGAGACTGATTTCAAATAGTAGCTCAAAAGTCATTCAGCACTCGAGAATATATTTCGATCGTAGAACAGCGGTCCGTAGTTAGTACGCCTGCCGAAGAGGGGTTCAAGCCCCTTCTCGTCTATGCCAAGTAGCCGATGAGATCTCAAGCCTAAGGTCACTCACATTGTGACGTGGGCATGCGTGGATCTCGATGGGGAGGTGTGAACCGACACGCGCAGACATGGCTACTTGTAACAGCCGTTCTTCGCGCAGTTGACAAGTTCTTATGTCCGAGCCAGCGTGATATTTTGACGTATTGCACCCTTAATCTCTCAACAGGCTTGCGAAACTACACTAGATGGCCACCGTAGTGAACACGCGTATACACACAAGCCCATGCTCAAGATAGGCCGGGATGGAGGTCAATTGAGCGAATTCTTCCCCATAGATAGACAGCGTTGTGATGAAGATGAACCAGACTTTGTTGTCGGAATTGGCCGGGCCATACCCGATTTGGGGGGAGTTTGCGAGATTCCGCGCGGGAGCTCGGGGATATCCTTCGCATCCACTCGGATCCACTTCGGGGTTTGTCCAACCCTTTTCCTTCTTGCGGGGAGCCTCGGCCGCATGTGCCATTATCAGTAGGCTTCCTGGCGATCATTCGGCGGGGTTGCATCATCACATTTACCCTCTTTTTTTTTCAACAAAACCCAGGAAGTCTGCAGCACCCCAGACTGAAACGCGCGGCCAACGTGGGTCTTAATTAACAATAGTATTCCAACTACGTTGTAGGTGCCGAACAGGCCGAGGGTCTCTACACTATCAATCTTCAGTCCCGGCAATCTGCAAGTTTTCAAGGCCAGGATTCAATTGCCAGGGAGTTGGCCGTGCTGTGCTGCTGCTATCTTCAATACTCTTTCTGAATCACAATATGCACATAAGCATACAAGGTAAAAATAATTACCGAGACTTTAACTTTCTACTATAGCTAGACTACACGATAGTAGTCGCAGTATCAAACGTAGTTTGTAGCTCGAGCCCTCTCTGATCGGCAGGGGTGCGGAGAAAACTATACAAGGAAGATTGGCTGCCCTCGTCCTCGGCCTCGGCCTCGGCCTGCAGAACTGGCAGTGTTCTCCGCCATCTCTCCCAGAATGTCTACCGTCCTCATGTATCTGAGACGAATGTTCTTCTCGCAAATTCTCAACGGTCTCTTCAATGCTAGTTTTCCTGTCCGGTCGTCATCGGTTGGCGTAGTCAATCGAAGTCTCCACATGGATAAACTTCATCCCGTTGAGGTTTTACACAATGTCGCACTCAAACCACCTTCGGGTTTATCGGAACGGCAGGGCTTGCATCATTCCACTGCTTGAGATCCATTAAGCTCATTCCATTGTTTCTTCCGGGTGGGTCTCAATTTCCATCCTTGGCCACGCTTGTCGCAGAGGCACTTCGAATCGAACCTATATATATGCCGATCGCCACCCAGTTTGCTTCTCTTTTCCTTCATCATCATCTCCATCCTTCCTTTCCATTTTCTTTGCAGTTTACGGTATGCCCTCGTTCGCTACCAAGGGCCTCGCCGCTGTGGCCCTGGGTGCTGCTGTCGCCCAGGCCCAGCTCTGGGATCAGGTCATTCAGACAAATTACGGTCCTGTTAAGGGCTTCAAGTACTTCACCAACGAGACTGTTCTCGAGAAGTACTTCGGTACCACCGAGTCCAATGTCACCGCTTTCCTGGGTATCCCCTTCGCTGCCGACACTGGTTACCAGAACCGCTGGAAGCCTCCCCAGCCCCGTGAGCCCTGGAACACGACCTTGAACGCCACCTCTTTCGGCCCTGCGTGTCCCAGCAACTACGAGACTTATATCAGCGAGGACTGTCTTAGCTTAAATATCTGGACAAACGCTGCCTCGGCCGACGCCAAGCTCCCCGTCATTGTTTGGAACCAGGGTTCCGACGAGACCAGTGACAATGCCTGGTGGTACGGTGGTGGTATGGCCATGAAGGATGTTATCCTCATCTCCTTTAACCGCCGTGACGATGCCTTCGGTTACCTCGCCCTTCCCGAGCTCAACGCTGAGGGTCTTGCTGCCACCGGCCACAACACCTCTGGCAACTATGGTGTCCTGGATCAACTGGAGGTTCTCAAGTGGGTTCAGAAGAACATTGCCAACTTCGGTGGTGACCCTGACCGTGTGATCGTCGCTGGTCAGTCCTTCGGTTCATCCCAGGTCTACCACGCCGTCAACAGTCCTCTCTTCTCCGGTTACTTCCACGGTGGTATCTCCGAGTCTGGTATCCGCTACCCCTACGACCCCCTGCTTGCCGGTCTGGCCACTTCCTACGTCAACATGTCTACCGCCATTACCCACGGTGAATCCTACATGAGCGAGCACAATGTCTCCACCGTCGCCGAGCTGCGTGAGCTCTCCATGGAGGATCTCCTCGACGGCTCCCAGGATCGTGTCAACGGCACCTGGATCTGGTGGGTTACTGCTCTCTCCGCAGGCTACCCCCTGATCTTCAAGCCCGTCCTGGACGACTACGTCCTTCCCTCCACCTACCTCGAGACCCTCATCAACGGCCCTGCCAACGACGTCCCCGTCATCACCGGTAACACCAAGGACGAGTCCGGCGCCTCTACCACCACCGACTACACCGTCCACGAATACCTCAACTACACTTCCCTAAAGTATGGCGACCTCTTCGACCGCTACATCAAGCTCTACCCCACCGACAACAACGAGACCACCGCTGACCGTTCCTGGAACGCTGCCGCCCGTGACGCCTCCCTCATTGGCTCCTGGGCCTACGCCACCGACTGGTACAAGGCCGCCGAATCCGACTTCTACACCTACTACTGGACCCACGCTCCCCCAGGCCAGGACCAGGGTGCCTTCCACCAATCTGAGATCATGTACGCCCTGAACGCTCTCTACGCCAACGCCGACACCTACCCCTTCACCGATGTTGACTACGAGATCGGTGCGAAGATGTCCGCCTACTGGGCCAACTTCGCCAAGACCCTCAACCCTAACCAGGGTGGCTCTTACACTGGCAAGGGCAGCCTGCCCAACTGGGCCCCCAACAGCCCCAACGGCACCCAGATCGTCATGGAGCTGGGTAACTACTTCGGCAATGTCCCCATTGCTCACCACGACCAGGTTAAGTTCATGATGGACTACTTCCACCAACAGATTCCTTACTAGATGAGGATCATGGCGCGCTGCAGCGTGCCGCTTGTATGCATCTTGTGGAGCAGTGCTCCCGTTTCATTGGACCAGACATAGCTAATATGTCCTGTCCGTATGTCTGTCACTAGACGTTGATATTATATGCCCTATATTCGCTTCTTAGCTTCTCAGATTATGTGATAATACATTTTGTACATGTATCAAAACCTTTTACTGCTACTTTCCATTCAATGCTCCATGGTACATAACATAACCGGCGTAGACTACCATAAGACCGCCATAACACATACCTAACAAAGCACTCAAAGCGCCCAAGTAAACTCATCATCCCCCAACTGCCCAAACAACTCATCCAACGACAATTGCTCCAACTCATGCGCATGAACATCTGGTATTAAACCCTCGCCGCCACCACCAACCCCACCCACACCCCTCTCTTCCTGCTCTACCGACGGCTCATCCTCACTAAGCGGATGCATAAACTGCGTCGTAACACGCATCCTAGCGCCTGGAGCTGCCGGTCCCGACGATCCCGGCGTTTCCGTTGGACAGATTTTCGGATCGAGTAGATCCCAGAACAGCGATGGCTGGATAGTGATCGTCGTTCCTTTCGTTATCGTTGCACCTTGATGCTCTGAAGATATAGACGGGTTCGTAGTCGCCACAGATGCCGACGCCTGAAGTGCATGGAGGGTCCTAAGCCTATGCGAAACGTGCGGCCAGACCGTTGACATTCTTGACAACAGTCTCTCTGCGATGAGGAGATGTCCTCGTGCTTTTTCTCCAATTCCTCTGTCCCTCGCGAACTGGAATATCCATGATATGGACGCAGTAGCTGCTACTAAATGGGCTATTAATGGGTCGTGGAGCGGTAGGTCGAAGTTCTCCCATGCTTGAACAAGTCGAAATACCCATTCGGAGTGAAATAAGGCGTGATCGACTGTTTGTTGGAGGAAGAGGCGGGACTGGGAGACGCCGCGGTTCCCGCGTAATATGACGAGGTGGATGAAAGGGTGGTTCTGGATTGCGACGAGGGCATGGCAAAAGATTTGCATCGATATCCAGGAAGTCCAGTATTCCCGGTGGGTAGAGATCTCGGCGCGGGTGCGTTTGGTGAATGCTACGTTGCGGAGGAGATGGGATTCTGGGAGTTGGGTTTCGTGTTCGTTGCGTCTGTGGTTCAGCTTTGAGTAGGTGGAGGATAGGGACCAGGGGGTTTCTTCGTTGAGGTTAGGATTCGTGCGGATGTTGTGGAGGTAGGAGGCTGTTTCGCCCCAGATGATTATTAGTTGGATGCCGTATGCGACTATTCCAAGGTCGTTGGTTGGGTCGGTGGTGTCGAAAATGTCGGCTTGGGTGGGTGATGCGGAGGGGAGTGGGGGTGGGACGGGTGCGCTGGGCGGGTAGGGATATTCGGGGGATGTTGGGGCTTGTGGTGGAGATGGGATGGAGAGTTGTGGTGTGAAAATGCTTTCTAGGATGCGTATGCTCCAGTGGCAGCGGGACATTGTGAGGTCTCTGGTTTCTGTTTGGTTGGTGTTGTTGTGTTGTAGGGTTCGGAATGCTTGGAGTCGGGATGCCATTCCGATTGTCATGCAGGCCTGGGCTTGTTTGCCTTCTATTCGGGGATAAGAACAGGTCTTCAGGTTCATGTGGAAATGCGTACCTTTGATGTGCCGTAGAGCTAGCAAGCACAGCGACTGCAGTACTTCCACTTGTGGTATGCCCTCGATGGCCATTTTCACAACTGCCTGTTCGGCGGACTGGGAATAGAATTTCCGAGCTTCTACCTCCCTGCCGTGGTAGAATTCATGACTAGAAAATGGTAGTATAAGCGTTAAGAAACTCCATAGGAGAAAGTCTGGCGCTTTAGCCAGGTCCGACTGGAGGGTGTTCATGTTGAACAGCGGTAGTGGCTGCAGGTGTAGCACTTTTCGGTACGCCTCTGTAAAGTGTTGCAATGTCTCTGTGGGTGGATGTGGACTTATCTAATTAGCCAAGATACCGATTTTCGGTGGCACTAGGACACTTACTTTGTTGGTGAGAAGGTAGACATATCACTAGGACTTTCTCGCACGGGAACCTGCCAGTCCAGCTCTCTCTGCGAGGTACTATTGCTCTCAGGAGTCCCCGGTGATGGTTCGCCATTTCTGCTGGAGCGTGCGCTGACGATATATCAGGCGACTGTACAGGGACATATATGTAGGGTAAAGGATATGCACACCATAGCGCACCATACAAATCATTAACCTGTGACTCGACTATCCGTAGCCGATCTTGGGTAGCTCTCCTAGTCTGGTATTAGGATCAAGGTGTGTTGTAGCTGCAGGATGGCTCACAGACGCATACGCTTTTGTCACCCTTCCAGACGTGACACTTGCTCGGTCCCTGAGTGAATAAACACATTGATGATTTAATCTTTGGCAGGTTGAGCAAACCGGCCTCTCTCCAGGACATTTCGTTTTTCTGCGTCTGTCATTGAGTCAGCAAGTCTAGCCATTTCCTGATGAACAAGAGACCCTACCGACATGGCTCGCAGGCCTGTCGACTCCGTTCTCGGGGCTCAGACGATCGATCCATGCTATTGGTAAATTGACATTCCGCCATCTACTCCTGCCATTAGCCGGGGAAGTAGCCGATCCATCTCGGCGTCGGAGCAAATTCCGGGCTACATTTTACCGACCACGTGAGCGGAAGTTTTGCCACGTGCTTATCTTTCGGGACTAGTTTATTTCCGGCTAGTGGCGATCTCGCTTGGGTTTCCTTATGGATATGCTTAAATATTATCTTCTGGCTAGATGGAGGAATGCAACTTTAGTTGAATATGGCTCTAAAGAAACCTCTTCAAGTTCCGTCTTCCATCTCTAACTTCGTAACTCGTCATTAACCAACCTCATATTTACAATCTTCACCATGCGAAGGCAATGACAATCTACAATTTAGCCTTCTCATAAGGAGTCAACTCCCTCCTCGCAGGTCCTGCGCGGCTCCCATCACCCAGGAAAGTATCGTCCTGGTTCTGGTATTCCATCCGGAATCGCCACTTCTGAGCGAGGTTCTTTGGCAGGTCCCGTTTGATCGCCCGCGACATGTATTCACCAAGGACAGGTAGGAACTTGAATCCACTGCGCATGGAACATTAGCATTCGATCACAAACACGAATTCGATACAAAAGGGAAGACTCACTGTCCACTGCCCGCACCTCCAATAAATAAGTTCTTGAAATCCGGATGGTAGTCCATGATGAAATCACCGGTCGGGGTATCCGTATACCAGCAGAGAGCCAGCTTCTCAAAAGGCCGGTCAGCTAGTTCGGGCAGAATCTCGCGCAGTCCTTCCCGGAGTCTGTGCTCGCCATCCGCTGGGACAAAGTTGATACGCTCACGAGGCGGGATCAACGGGGGAGTCGAGATGTTACCCTTGGCGAGGGTGAGCTCTCCCTCCTTGGGGGTCCTGGTGTATCCCCACCCGTGAACGGCCATCTTCAGTAGGCTAGTATCTTCATGAGGAGGGAAGTTAAACCAGCCACTCGAGAAGTTGATGTAAATCGGAAGCTCTTCGTACTTCTTCACCTCCTCTGGTGTGAGACGCATGAATCCCAGGACCTGAGCAGTAGCAATGGTAGAGTTGTACATGGGAACTAGGCTAGATCCCCATGCACCAGCTGCAAGAATGAAGTGATCTCCCGACACGGGGCTCCCAATGAGGGTTCGTACGGCCTTGATATTCTTGTCGGAATCGGTGTCAAACCCGACAACCGTACCCCGCCGGCCGCAGATGAACGAAACCCCAGCTTCGAAGCAATCATCACGAAGCTGACTGATAGCCTTGTTGGCGTCTGCCCATCCTGCTTGGTTGTTTTGGTACCCAGAGAACGGAGGTGCGGCTAATTTTCCGCTGAGGACTGGGTGTAACCGCTTCGCGTGGTCCGCGTCGGTTACGTGAGTCCATGGAAGGTTATATCTGTTGAGAGCTGCTTTGGTCCTCTCCATCCATGAGTCCTTGACGGGGCCCATGCTTCCTGTTAGAATAAACGGTCTGGGGTAGAAGATGCCCCGGTACTTGGGCTCCTGCCATTTCAAATAGGCTGCGTGAGAAATACGCAAGTAGTCATCGTCGGCATAATCAAATCGAATTATACGAGAGATGTCAGAGCTGGATCCATCCGAAACCTGGACTGATTAGCTGATGTAACACTCACGGTGCATAACAGAACTTACTGGGGGCATATGTCGGTCAAGGACCGTTATGTTCTTGTAGCCCTCGGAGGCGAGCTGGTAGGCTGTGGTGAGGCCAAATACGCCTGCACCGATAATCACGACATGGCTATCTTTATCCATGACTACTGATATACCTCAGGAAGTAATGGGACACTTAGGAAGTGAATGTTCTTGGTGGAGCAATGGTTGTTCGATCAAAGCTTTCATGACTCCCTAAATAACTATGAACGGAGACCCAAAATGTTCTCCGATCCGCTCACGTGATCGGAGATCGGACTGGCTTGGGTCGGCTACCTGGACCTGAACAAGAGCATTGTCTACTCCGGAGTGTGGCGGTCTTTCCCTATGCTCGATTGTGGACTCTTGAGGACGTGGCGCTGAACCACCTCCACACTGCAATCGAGGCGCAGCCATTATGTCACCTGACCGGAAAGGTCAATGATGCCATTGTCTCCGAGGCCAGTGACGAACGGTTACTAGGTCTGCCATTATTTTCAGAGGCTTCGTTTATCGCTTTATTTTTAGCTGGATGTGTAGAGAAGCAATACGTAGATAAATGGGAGTGTGACATATCTTCTAGCTCGAATTTCAGCGCCTTGGACATCGAGGTTAAAATGGAAGTCGGCGGGGCGGGAAAAAAAAATGCAAAAAAAGAAGATGTCCCTCGACCCGGAATCGAACCAGGGATTTTCCGGTTACAATTAACCATTACAGCCGGACGCCATAACCAACTAGACCATCAAGGGTTATCTGTTAGTACTCGTCGTTGCTCCTATATATATACCACTAAACTCAGCCAGAATCGATCCCATTCTGTCAGCAATCATGAACACTTCTGCCCAGTGTAACTGGTATATCTCCTGTCCAAAATCAGTCTATTATGGTTTGGCTAGTGCTCCTATCTATTTTTGACCTCTATATCCCTTCAGTAAGTCATTGTTAGGCTCTTATACCTGCTTGTGGCTCGCTCCCCGTTTCCCGATAAGTTACCCATCGATTGTATCTGGTGAATATATATTGTCTGGGTTCACTTTCCTGTGCCAGTGAAACAGCGACCATGAAAACATGCGGTCTAGACGACAAGCCCGTCAATCCCAGCCACTAAAAGAGCAAGTAATCACTAAACATACCAAGATGGCGTTTATTGTGTCAGATATGGACCCCCGAGGCATCTTGGGTGACACCCAATTACTACCTGCCTTAGGCATCAGCACGAATATGTGCGGGGATCGGCAAATGATCCTGGAATGTTGGGTTGTGATGACCCTGATCAGCACGTAGGCCATTCAGCTCCACCCAAGGAAAACCGAACATCTAGAAAGATCCTTAGCAATCCTACTAATTATCCGCAGCCCCGTTGGTGGGCAAGCGCTTGTTCGGTCCATTCCAGAAATGGTATCATGTGACCACAGCCCTGTCATGGACACCCCTCTCCCTTTCTACTACACTGGCGACTCATCCATTCTGCGCTCCATAAACTAGGCATCACTATTGAACGGAGCTATACCCCAGACTTTGCGACATGTATATTCCCCAAGTCAACGACCATAATGTGATCATCTCCCTAGCACTTCACCCACTCGTGATCGGTGAAATAAATGAGGGTGACAACCCCCCCCCGGAGATATCCAGGGTGCAATCTATTTTGACAGATGCTGGGATACACCTTTGCCTTGTTAAAGAATAAGCGCTAATATATTATGGAACAGTATGCGTTTACTTTGCCGTGTGAGAGCTAAAGTAAAAGGGAAAGAGTAGAAAGTATGATACATTGTATAGCTATAGAGCGCACCTTCATCTGGCCGGAGTCTAGAAAAGATCTAATGATCCTAGTCGTTTAAGCCTGGTAAGATTGATAAGGCACAATGAGAATACATCTTGGATAACACTAGCTGAAAGGATGATGGATAATAGTAAAGGAGTGGTAAGAGTGCTTCATTAACTTAGTAAGCCATTTGTAATGATTTTGTGGCTCCCCAATTATGGGTCTTAAGGGTTCATGGGTTGTAAATGGGCTCCACCATCATAGTGCGTTACAGTCCAGGGTTAGCAGATAAGCCACGTCCAAAATCAACTGCTGGGTCAAGACATGTAGAAGTAAGGTACGTAATATGCAAGGCTGTGAGGTTACTACGGAGTATGCCGATTCAATGTGGGTACCAAGCGACTGATTCTGGACCGCTGTTGGCTGATCAAACCACGCTGTGTTCCCCCCGAATGGGCGCTCCGAAAAGAACGACAGCTCAGGTTCGGATATGCCGGCATAAGCTTCCGCATGGATCATGAGATACGAGAGAGCCAAGCAGGAGTCTACCAATCGGTGTAGGTGGTGTGCGAGAGCATGCATTACAGTCCGATTGCTGATACATCCTGCCACACCACCTGCCAAACACCAGTGGCCTGACCGTCAAGGATTCCAACGGTAATACGTTGAATCTCTGTCAATCGGATGTATCGGGTTGTCAAAAGCCACACAGCAGAGATTTCACGCACAAGCCCTGGATCGAAGGATCGACCAGGCTGCTTTTAGTATTAATCACGGGGAGGTGAAATTTTTCCTAGCGCGGAAAGCGATACTCAATACGTCCACCGACCAATGGAGCCGGGTAGCTAGGCCAATCTGGGGAATTGTCGTAAAAGAATGTGGCTCTTGGGCATAAATGGTCCGGGCTAGACAGCCGCAATTGGCCAAGAGGTTATCATCACACCCGGCATTGGCCGGCTAATAATCAATATCATTGGCTGTGAGCCCCACAACAGAGATTATCTGATGCATTGGCCTGATTATCTGATGGCGCTTATCGCTTGGCCCCCATTTATTTGTTCACCATCGATTCCTGACTCTCACTCTCCAGTCTGCAAGCGTGGCTCCTGCGTGACACCACGAGCCTAGTTGCCACGCCATGATGCTAGAGACTCTGGCCCCAAAGAGCAGTCTCCACATGAGCCATAGAAGCAGGAGAAAGAAAAAAAAGTTTGATGTTGGCGCTAATGCGGACCCAAAAGCCAAGTTGAATGGATGATTGACAGGGGAGACGTTGGGTGTGGGAGGAAATGCTACCCACTATATAACCATCCCGCGATCGGCCCTTTTCCTTCCCCTTTTCTCTCACTTCTATTCTTATTGACATTACTCATCTACTCACACTGCAGAGATAATATCTCATCCAGCTATCATGGGTGTCGTCGTTGACCGACTTAAGGGTCGCAAGACCAACCATGTCGTGGATGATCTTCAGCCAGTAGAGCAGCTTCCGAAGAATTCCCAGACGGATGGTCCATCTGCTAACCTGGGGCTCTCCGAAAAAGATGCCCAGCCTGAAGGGGTTTCCCAGGAGGCCCCGATCGGAGTGCAGAAGGCAGAGGCTGCTGCGCTGGTCTGGAGCAAAAAAGCCATCTACGGCACTTACGCCTGGTATGGAAATTACAAGGAAGCATATAGAAGAGCTGTACTAATGATATCCTCAGGATCTGGGTCTGCTATTTCATGCTTGCGCTTCACGAATACATCAGTACCAACGTGCTCTACTATGCTTACTCGAACTTCTCCCACGCCTCGCAAGTCACGACGGCCTATATCTTAGCGACCATCATTGGTGGAGTGCTGAAACTACCCATTGGAAAGCTTCTTGGAATCTGGGGACGTGCTGAAGGCCTGATCGTCTTCGTCATCATCTACGTTCTTGGGTTGATCATTCTCGCGGCATGCAATGGCCCCAATGCCTTCGCTGCTGGCTATGTCTTCTACTGGATCGGTTACGATGCTATATACCTCATTCTGGAGATTTTCATTGCTGATACGTCCGGTTTGCGCAACCGAGCCTTTGCTTTTGGCTTCTCCACAACGCCTTTCATCTGCTGTGCCTTTACCGGTTCTCTTGCCGCCAATTCCTTTATTAAGACTTCGGGCTGGCGCTGGGCCTATGGTGCCTTCGCCATAATCCAGCCCTTCGTCTTCGCGCCCCTCATTTTCGTCTTCAAATATTATGAGCGGAAGGCCTACAAGACCGGTGTTCTGGTTCGCCAAGACAATGGCCGGACCTGGTTCCAGTCGCTGATCCACTACATTCACGAATTCGATGGTAATCTTTTCTCTCTTACTAGACAAGCTGCGAAACCTAAGAACAGACTCTAATATCGTCTTGACAGTCATCGGTGCCTTCATCCTCATGGCCGCTTTCGTACTCTTCCTCCTCCCCTTCAGCCTAGCTAGTTATGGCCGAACAGAATACCATAACGCCGCCTTCATCGCCGAAGTAGTCATCGGTTTCGTTCTCTTCTTTGTCTTCGCAGCCTGGGAGAGATGGTGCGCCCGGGTCCACTTCATCCCCTACGACCTTCTCCGGGACCGCACCGTCCTCGGCGCCTGCCTCCTTGCCGCAGTCGTCTACTTCAGCTTTTACTGCTGGGACAGCTACTTCTACTACTTCGTAATGGTCGTCTACAATCTGGACGTAACCAAAACCGGCTACATGACCTCCATCTACACCGTCGGATCGTGCGTCTGGTCCCCCGTCTTCGGGTTCTGGATCCGCATGGTCAAGGAATTCAAGTACTCGTGCCTGTGCTTCGCGGCGCCGCTGATGTTCTTGGGTGCCGGGTTGATGATTCATTTTCGCGGTCAAGATGCAGATATTGGGTATGTGATCATGTGTCAGATCTTCATTGCTTTCTCTGGTGGTATGTTGGTCATTGGTCAGCAGATGGCGGTGATGTGTGCGTCGAACAGGGATGGGATCCCAATCTTGTTGTCGATGTTGGGTCTGTTCAATAGTATTGGGGGCGCTATAGGGTATGCGGTTTCGGCGGCGATTTATACCAACACGTTCACGGATGGGTTGAGGAGGGCGCTGCCGGCGGAGGATCAGGACCTGTTCGAGACGTTGTACTCTGGGGGTTATTTGTCGCAGATGAAGTATGAGCCTGGGTCGGCGGTTAGAGATGCGGTCAATTATGCCTGGGGGTATATGGAGAAGTACGAGGCTATTGCAGCGACTTGTATTTTGGTGTTGATGTTTCCGGCGGTGGGTATGTGGAAGCATTATAATGTGGACAAGAAGCAGAATAAGGGGACGATGATCTAGGATGGGCTGTTAGACTGATATGTTCAAAGTAATATTTAATCGTTAGATAGATAGATAGATAATTTGGTCACAGCTTCGACTGCGATGTGACTGATCATGGAACATGTAGATAATCTCGATCCGAAGAGACAAACCTATGACCAAATTCCCTTGGTATGCCGGGATTTTCCACAAGATATGCAGGGATGAGAAGGTAGCTCCATTGGCCATGGATGGACAGTGGAAAAGTTGAAGAGCCGCAAGAAAAACTTGTGAATGTTACACCGCATCTAACGTGACAGCTCAATGAAGATTCATCTACGATCGCAACACAAGCAGGAATTTTCTATCCTACTCATCCTTGAGGCCAAACCTCACTCCCTTGAGAAAATTTACCAACCTTACATGTCATTGCTATCGTCAATCTGAATTATACCTAACAGTGCCAGATACATGAAGTAAACCAGTTTAACAACCTAACCAAATATGCGCCGCTTCGAGAGAATTACCCAGGTAGTTGAGCCTGTCGAAGAATATCGCCGGGGAGATTACCATCCCGTCCACCTCCATGACACCTTCGGCCAAAAATATGAAGTTGTCGGAAAGCTAGCGTATGGCCATTTCTCGACTGTCTGGCTTGCAAAGGATAAGTCTAGTACCCATCAACACGTCGCCCTAAAGATTCTGAAAGCAGATGCTTCTGCAGATTCAAAGGAGCTTCTGATACTGCGTCATCTGGCGGCGTCCGAATTCGATCACCCTGGAAAATCACATGTCATTGATCTATTTGATCACTTCTATCATACAGGTCCAAATGGTATTCACCTATGTCTGGTTTTTCCGGTGATGATCTCGGATCTGCAAGAAATGATAGTCACATGGACTCCACGACAGGCGGGATATGTAGAAATCACGTCACATCAGATTCTCTTGGGGCTCGATTTCCTCCATAGATCTGATATTGTCCATTGCGGTAAGTTAATACAGGCCAGAAACAACCTGTTAATTACTAATGACCGCTTTCTGTCTGCCCGAGCAGACCTACAACCAGGAAACATGCTGGTCGCAGTCACTGACTCGATAAATGACACCAAGGCTTTTCTGGAGCCACCACAATTTAGCCCAGTCAGATGGCTTGAAGGAGTGACGAAAGACGACAGTGCCCCACAATACTTGATGCCTTCACAGAGACGTCACAACCAACTGAAGAATGTCCAGCACTCCAACCTTGTTGTCAAAATCGGAGATCTGGGTGGCGGTAAGAGACAAATCCATTCCTACGCAGAATCTTGTGTCTAGTCGCTGATCTTTCCCTTTATAGCTCAATTTCGTAAACAGTGCAATGAGAGGCCTGTAACACCACTGTCACTACGCGCCCCTGAGATTATACACGGGAGCCCTTGGGACTGGACCATCGATATCTGGGCATTGGGGTGCTTGGTAAGTGTCTTTTAATTATCCGTACTCCTTATGACAATAAAGTGCATCTGCTAACACTGACCAGATATTTGAAATAGCAACCAACGAGCCACTCTTTCCACTTTGTACCTTCGGTATACCACGAGAGGAAGTCAATAAGGAACATCTGGAACTTATTGACGAGAGAATGCGTGATCCTGCTGGTCAAGTTGGATTTGCTACATATCTCGCTGAGCGGCTGCAGGATGAATTTGGGGCTGAGAATGTACAGCGCCTGGCCAAGTTCCTTTTATTGATGCTGCGGGTAAATCGTGAAGAACGATGTTGCACCAAAGAGTTGCTGCAAGATGCATTTACTGTGAACGAGCATTAAAAGCTCTAGTTGAGGGCGGTGAATTTAGTTTAGTTTTGCTTCAAAGGGTCATTCATTTCTAGGAATAGACCCAGTGACACTGTCCCTGAAAGACTTATTAATGTCTCAAAGTTTGTTTTTCTTTTTCTTTCTTTCTTCTTTCTTCTTTCTTTCTTCCAAGCCGTGAAGAGAGTATCTTACACACGAACTACTCTTTCTTACTAATTAGTAACAGAAACCCAGGAAGGTTTTCCAATGCGAGAAGGAATGCGATCCTAGCGGAGCTGGAAGCTTATACCACATAGGACTGATAATATGGCCATGGAAGCTTAGGCAAGTAATCACAAAATCCAGTAATCCCCGCACCATCGGTGGAAACCTAACAAGTAATAGAGTGGCTGCTGCAATAATGCGAATGCATTGGTTCAATTAGTATATCAAAGCCCAGATCTGCAGCGGTGCATGGGATACGTGTCGCGTTACTATCTCCTGGGTGCGCTCATATCGAACTAGCACGTACCGCCTCAGGCAATAACAAAGGAGCTCCCCTTGGCTGGCTCTGAGCCGCATTCCAAAACTTCCACTCCATCTGGCTCATAAGTCTGGCGATACCAAAGCCACTGGCATCAATAAACGGGTAGACCGCCTGGCACCACTCGAACTCAGCCTTATCCCCGCAGTCAATATAACATTTAGACGCCTGTGAAAGTCCCAGAAGTACGGATCGCACGGCCAACATCCGATTTTCAGGCTGCATGCAATATGCTACGGAGCGGCAAATTTCTCTGGCATAGAACACCATGCGGCTCGGGTCAGGGTCTCGCAACAGGTGAGTCTCGGTTTGATAGATTACGCGGCGGATGACCAGTGAAGCTACCCAGAACAGGAGGTAGATTTTGGCTGCTTCGAGGCTTTCGAAGTTGTATGGTGCGAGACCTGGATCCAGGGGGAGCATGCTGGGCTCCTGTCCCAGGCTTTGCCTGCTACAGGGGATAGGTTTGCCGTCCAGCCTGTGAGCGGACATATGCAGCCAGTCTACCCGCAGACGCGCCTCAAGGTTGAAGCACCGCTGCAGTAGTGCGTGGCATGCGTGTTCGCGATCGTGATGTGATTGTCCTATGAGTTTACACAGATCTCTGCGTAGAGCTATGCCTTCGGCAATCACTTCGAATAGCTCATCGACAGGGCTGTCTTTTCGGCCAAGATTAAGACATTCAACGTCCACATGCATACTGTATGGGGTGTTAAGGGTGAACATTGCCTATAAGAGTGTTAGTAAGTCCATCACCAAGGGAGACTTAAACTGACCGCCGCCCACTTGTGTCTCCATAGGATCGCGTCGATGAGGGTTTGATCACACCGGGTAAAGTCGTGTTGCTTCAACATCGCTGTAGCTCCCTGGATGTGGGCAAGACAGTTACGCAATACCGTCTCACTATTCTCCATAGTCTGTGGCTTGTCAGAACAACTGGACCTCTTGGCCCGGATTGAACCTACCTCGTAAGCTTGGAAGACAATGGCAGAGTAGAGAGTAGTAGCTGTTGGCGGACGATTCACCTGCAAGATCTGTAGCATCGCATGAAGAGCACTATTGTAGATTTCCAGGCCATAATGTGCCAACCGATCATCCCTGGTCTTCTTACCCAAAAACACGGAGGCCAAGCCAATGACCGAGCGATCCAGCAGGTCTGATTTGCCGGCCAAGGTTGGGAAGCGCGCCATCAACGAGTACCAGCTATCGACCCTGCCAGTGGGGGATGGGTTGGAGGCGAAGAACGTGTGCATGTAGGTCGCAAACAACTGGGTGCGAGCCTCGGGATTCATATTGAAGCAAGCAGGCAAAGCCAGGAGCTGGAGCTCTCCAACCCCTTCGGGTAGCTTGATCTCCGCATCGCGCGCACCCCGGGGCTCAAAGCTGTGGTGGATGAAGTCCCGATCCTGGTAACCGGGGCAAGGTGTTCCTCCTTTTTTAACACAATTGGAGCATTCGGGCTTCTCCAGATCACACTGCCAGGTTTAGCCATCGATTAACAGTTCGATTGAAGGACTGACCTTGATCTTGCGCTTCTTACAGGCTGCACAGGCGCGTGATGTGAAGGGTATGCCACCCATCTCTAGGGTACAATGTCTGGTGTACCTATGGCTGGGGAGGACGAACAGTTGGATCGATGCAAGGAGAAGATGAACGATTGGAACCTCCGATGCTCAGGTTGTTCATTGGTTGGTCACGTTTCACGTGCTACCCTCAGCCTCAATTCATGCGACATGTCACATGCGGTGATTATAGGCGAAGACCGACTGGTTTAGTCCTGTGCAAGTGAATGGATCGCTGCATTACCAATTGGTTGATGGAATATATTCGACGGTGTGACTTGACTGCCTTGCTACCACACAATTCAGCCTTGCGGACCCTTTCAGTACTTAGAGTTGTTGCGGACGGGCCCCGCGGGGAGCTCCGGGTCAGTGTCTCATAGGCAAGGGGGTCCCTGTAAATATCCGCTTGCTGAGGAGTGGAGTAGAGAAGCGGCTTGTCATGATATCGATCGTGCACTGCAGATCGGCCAACTGCACCTCCCGCACCAACAATCAATGCCCATAGGGCATTGAATCATGACTGTCAACATTAATTTCCATCTATATCAATTACGTTGGAAAAGAACAAAATACATACGACCATAGGGTGTGGAAAACAGGGCTTCCCGTCCGCTCAGCCGTACTTAAGCCACACGCCGGGAGGTTAGTAGTTGGGTGGGTGACCACCAGCGAATCCCTTCTGTTGTATGTTTTTGATCCTTTCCTTTCAAATCTTTTTTTGCTGCCCTATCTGACTATCGCTCTTCAGCGCTCGGTGGGTGAATTGTATGATGCTTTTGCGGGAAATTAGGGCCCAGTGCCGGCATCCAATCACACAACGACGGCCTAGTCTAAGCTTCAATGTTTGCTACACATTGGATCGCTTGTCTGTAAAGGAAGCGGAACCCTTGTTCTCTTCATTCGGTATGATATGATTGACGGGTACTATTTGGAAGGTATTGGCCGAGTGGTGCGGAATGTGAAGTGTGTCACAAATTCGGCACGGAAGCGGTCCGCCCGCTCACTGAAAGCACCCTAATGTCGAATCGAGTCCAGATCCCGAACACTTAAGCTTTGGTTCACCAGGTCGGACGGGCCGACTGGATGGGCAGTGGACCGCATTAAACAAGAAATGGACAGTCATACCCGCGCCTGCCAAGGACTGGGACATCGTGCACACAAAGCGAGGAAGATATGGATAGTGGAGGATAGCTTTCACATAGATAGCAGTAGGCCCTCCGGACATGCCTGAATATATGGGGTCGTACCTCCCCCTCGAAGCCGGACGTTATGGGCGGATCAAAAGCAGTGACTTTGGAGATTGCCTTGACACATTGAGAACTAGCGGACCTATCGGTACTATGGACGTTACTGTGCAGACTGAGATGCTGATGAAAGACGGACCAGTCTTCGAGACCGTCTTGTTTTTTCAAACCGCCTGTCACAGTATAGATGGCACAACAAAAACGACAACTAGCTTCAAGCCGGCTGTCCCTGCGGAGGGATGAGTTCGCAACAGTTCGCCCTCGACCTTGGGTCGCTTTCATCCCCCAGTAATCTGCGAGTATCTGGACCACATTTGTTGCGATAGATGCTGACAACACGGTCTGTTCAGAGTCATATATTGAGCTTGCATCAAGTTTGTTTCCTTCATGTACTATGTGTCCAAATCCTGAATAACATGGGTAGGCAAAGTGGTCTGAAAACTAAGGATTCCAATGTGCTGTGCGAGTAGCAATTCATGTGCTCTAGAGCCTTATCAGATACTATCGGAGCGAGTATCCGATAACCCGCGATAAGACGCGGGGTTCGCGATACTGACAGGAAGCCCTACTACAGACAAGGCAGTTCTACCCGCTGACTTTCCTGATAAGCTGCAAGATCTGCAAGTGTCCTGCCGAAGACGAGGAGCGGGAGGGGAAATGTTGGAGATAACGGGCCGGTGGCTTTCTCCACCTTCACCTCCACTCTCGGCCGATGAGGCCCGTCTCACGATCTGTAGGCTTGACATATGAGTTGAATGATGCCACAATTTTGGTTCTATCCACATTCAATGACTATATTTGTGTTCATAACTCAGAATGCCAAGTGTAGAACCTCGACAGAAGCTGCGGATCTCTATAGGTCTGTCGCGCCACATTCAACCCGATAATGCTGCATTCACTATATTAAGCGACTGACCGACCGTACAGATCGCGGAGGAACGTTCACCGACTGCATTTGCAAAGTCCCCGGTCAGGAAGATATCGTGGTGAAGATTCTATCTGTCGATCCCAAGAATTACGATGATGCCCCGACTGAAGCCATCCGCCGCGTGTTGGAGATTTACTATGGAACGAGCATTCCGAGGGGAACAGGGTTGGATACACAGGATATCGGTGGGAGACATCCTGAGTTACGAGCTTTTCTCCAGGCTAACCTTCTGCTTAGAGTCAATACGCATGGGGACAACCGTTGCGACAAACGCACTGCTAGAGAGGAAAGGCGAGCGCACTGCCCTTCTCATCACGGAGGGCTTCAAAGACTTGCTGGAAATCGGCAATCAATCGCGACCCTTCATGTTCGATCTCTCAATTCGAAGGCCTGGAACACTATATTCCGAGGTATTTGAGGTGGAAGAGCGCGTGACCCTGCGTAACTGCACCGACACAGACCTGCGAAGCATGGACCTCTCGTCGCCGCCCGTACTACGAGAGCTCACGGGTACATCCGGAGAAACTGTCCAGGTAATAAAGTCGTTGAATCTCGAGTCAGTGGAGGCATACCTGAGGAAAGTATACGCGGACGGGTACAGATCCATCGCTGTATGTCTGATGCACGCCTACACGTTTCCCGATCACGAGCTCCAGATCCGGGACCTGGCGCAACAGATCGGCTTTGAGAATGTCTCGCTCTCGCATGCTGTATCGCAACGAACTAAGATTGTTCCTCGAGGCAACTCTGCTGTCATTGACGGATATCTTACACCGACAATCGAACGATATCTGAAGCAGTTTTTGACCAGTTTCCCAGATATTACCAAGTCGGATACCAAGTTAGAATTCATGCAATCCGATGGTGGGCTGGTCCCTGCTCATAGACTCTCGGGACTGCATTCGATTCTTTCTGGCCCGGCTGGTGGAGTGGTAGGGTATGCTCGTACCTGTTACGACGAGGTCAGCGAAGCCCCACTGATTGGCTTCGATATGGGAGGAACAAGCACAGACGTTAGTCGCTATGATGGGACATTGGATCATATATTTGAGACCACCACGGCGGGAATCTCGATGCAGACTCCACAACTCAATATAAACACGATCGCTGCTGGTGGAGGGAGCATCCTGTTCTGGCGCGACGGGTTGATGTCTGTTGGACCGGAAAGTGCCTCTTCGGATCCGGGTCCTGCGTGCTATCGCAAAGGGGGCCCATTGACCATTACGGATGCCAATCTGGCTCTAGGAAGGTTGATCCCGGAGTATTTCCCCTCTGTATTCGGTCCAAATGAGGATGAGCCCTTGGATCGCGATGTTGTTATTGCCAAATTCCAAGCTTTGACGGCAACGATTAACCAAGATACGGGCAAGTCAATGAACTGGGCGCAGGTGGCACAGGGGTAAGCTTCTCGCTGGAATATGAGATATAATCGAGACTAATATGCGTGCAGCTTCCTCGACGTTGCGAATTCCGCCATGTGTGGCCCCATTCGGAGCCTGACAGAGGCTCGCGGTTACGACACAACGAAGCATCACTTAGCATCCTTTGGTGGAGCGGGTGGTCAACACGCCTGTGCCATTGCCGGAATTCTTGGTATCCAGAAGGTCTTGATCCACAAGCACTCCTCAATTCTCTCTGCCTATGGTATTGGCCTGGCAGATGTGGTGCAGGAAGGTCAGAGGCCCTGCGCAAAGGCATACGATTCATCGAACCTCCCGAAAATCTTAGCGGACTTGGAGGAACTCGCTCTGGCTACCAAGGATCTCTTAGGAAATGACGGGATACTGAACGTGGACGTGGACCGGTTCCTTAACATGCGCTATGACGGAAGCGAGACTACCATTATGATTGCAGTGGACCAGACCCATGATATGTTGCAGAACTTTGTCAAAGCACACCATCAGCAATTTGGCTTCACGCCTACTGATAGGAATGTATTTGTTGATAGCATACGAGTTCGGGCCATAGGTCGAGGCTCTTTCGCTGCCCCTTCGCCTGATGTTCCGGCTTCGGTCCCAGCGAAGCCTTCTGTATCTACAGACAAGTGCCTTGCTGCTGAGGCTACCAATAGTGTTTATTTTGATCAGCTTGGATGGACAGACACACCAGTATACATCCTCAAGTCCATCCCTCTGGGACAGAAGGTCAACGGCCCGGCACTTGTGGTCGATGAAACGCAAACGATACTCGTGGGCCCAGGCTCTTCAGCAACATCCGCGCAGGACAAGCTGATCCTTGACGTCAAAGTTTCCGAGAAGGGCCGCAACGTTACCACTGATACTATCGACCCTGTCCAACTTTCTGTATTCCGCCACCGTTTCATGAGCGTCGCGGAGCAGATGGGTCGTGTACTGCAACAGGTGAGTGTGAGCGCGAATATCAAGGAACGGCTTGATTTCAGTTGCGCTGTGTTCAGTCCGGATGGGTCTCTAGTCGCAAACGCCCCCCATGTGCCTGCGATGATTGGTAGCATGGCCTTTGCGGTAAGGGGTCAGATTGAAGAATGGAAGGGGAGGTTGAAGGCGGGAGATGTTTTGTTGTCTAATGCACCTGGTTCGTACGAGGGAAATTTTGCCATCCATTCACCGTGCTAATCAACCAGTTCAGAATATGGGGGTACCCACCTCCCAGACCTCACTGTTATTACTCCCGTATTCGATGCACAGGGGAAAGAAATCATATTTTGGACAGCTTCACGAGGCCATCATGCTGATGTACGTGCACCCTTCCCTCCAAGTTGTATCAACTTGCCCGGCTAAGATGATCAGATTGGCGGTATCCTGCCTGGCTCGATGCCTCCATCCTCGAAGGAACTTGCTCAAGAGGGAGCTTTGTTCAAGTCGCTT